TCAAACCACATGATGAAGAAATGGAAGAAATCGATAGCACATGGATATATCTAAAAAAATAACATACAAACACCACTCTATGCAGATGATTTAGTCATAGAGATGATAGAAGATAGTTTATAAATTGCAGAAAACCCTCCTCTACAAAATAGCAAGAATATATGACATGATTATCTCTATAAGTAAAATCAAAGCCAAGGGTTTCAAGGGAAAGAAGTTAGATGAGTGAAGGAAGCAATAGGAGAGAGGATAGAATTTTGCAAATGTACATTCTCGCCTGAGATGTGGTGTAATATTCTGGGGAAAAACATCCTACAGAACGCAGACTTTTAGATCACAGAAAAAATGTATGAGTAATTAGCAAAAGCCATCTGCATGATTTCTGCAAGCCTCTCTTCATTGAGCTCCAGTCCTACCATTGCCTTTCATTTTATTTATGAATCTGTAGTTTTTATCTAAACAAATTTACTTAGGGGCAGGAACATATTTCCATGCAAAGCAGATGTTAACACACATTATAGGAATCATATTTATCAGGAGTCACAACAGTTCACTACAAGAAATCTGCATTCAATGCATGTAGTTTCTTTACAACTCATTGCCAGATGACATTAGACAAGTAAAATTGCTACAGAAGTTTTACAAGTGCAAAGTAAAATTGTTACATCAGTGCCAAGTGAAGTATTTTCTATTGCAGAACTGTTCTATATAACTAGAGTCTATACTGACCTTCAAGAAGGAACGTAATATTTATTTTCAAACTTATATGGATAATGCATTAGGTAACAATTGTTCAGAATATTTTAAAAGACTAAATGGGTCTGTAACAAGTAGTGTGTTTCAGCTTCTGGGTCAATAACCCCCTTTTTGATTAGATTGTTAGAACACAGTAAGAGAATGAAGAATGATATACATCCAAAACTAGCATTAAAGTACAAACCCACAGGACAAAGAAACATGGAAAACTTAAGAAGAAATGGAGAGAACAAGAACCCTGGCCTACTATATAAACAGGAACAAGTTTAGGGCTAATATCCTGCAGTTCATGATAATGATTTTTTTTTTGGTCAGGTTAGAAAATAATTTTTCAAAAGATTATGTCATCAATTTTAAAAACAAACAATTATCAAGTAGGTAGGTTAACCTGTAAATTAATGAACACTACACCAAAGTTGTAGAATAAAAAAATTATAGTACATAACAGGGTACACAGTACACATCACTTAATGGTTAGTTCAACAATGTAATATTTATATTTATATTGAAGAAATAGTGTTTTACCTGCAAATTTTCCTTTTTTTCACATTTTCTCAATTTTTCCATCTCCTAATACGAGAATGGAAATATGACCTTAAGAATAGCAAAGAAGAGTTATTTCTAATTCTATAAGAAAGTTTTAATTTACAATTTTGGAGCAATGTTTGAGAATTGTCGATGTTTGACATTGTTCAATTGAGAATGTTCAATGATTCTGAAAACGAGAATGTTGAGTTCATTTTCACAGAAAACTTTTGAGTTTTCCAAAAACTTTATCAAAAGTAATCTGAAGAACCTGCAGTCAGACATGCAACATATTTGAAAAACCACCTGTAATGTAAATATGAGAGATATTCCAAAATAATTCCATTTGTGTAATTTTTTAAGAATCAAAAGAATATTGCTCAAAATAGCCATTGATGTTCCTCAAAAAATTTATCTCTATCCACAGTAAAATTTACTTAACGTTAATTGTACTTCTAATTTTGTTGAAAAGATTTTATTGGCAAAAAAAGGTCTTCCTTAATGTAGTTGTTCAAGGGGGTTCAAAAAATTTAAAACTTTTCGATAATTCAGGCGCAAAAGTAAAAATCAGACCTGTGTCATCTTTATAAGTGTATTTCACTCTATTCCTATCTTACCTCTCCTATCTTATCTCTCTCCCATCTTATAGAATACCTTTTGCACTATCTCTACCAATCGTTTAAAGAAAAAATTTCAAACCATTTTTGAGAAAATCTTCTTTATGAAATTTTTTTTAATTGCACATATTGCATGTATATTGTGCGAAAACTACTAAAATTTTCAAAAAATGGACACGATTTTAAAGAACAAACTCACTGTGAAGGACAAATTTTATTTGAAAGAAAAATCTCTATCTTCAATTTTGTAGTTGTAGGACAACACCAAAAAATTTTGAAATTTTCGAATATTCAGAGTAAACCGTGAAAAATGGACCAACGCCACATTTATAAGTGTATGTTACTCTATTTTTACAAGAAATTTAAAGAAAAAAATTGGAGCAGTTTTTGAGAAAATTTTAAAAATGTCCTGGGGACATCATGTAAAGTACCCTCAAATGTTGAAAAATGTTTTTAAATGTTTTTTGACTCGAGCCAGATAGACAGGGGTTTCTTCAATTTGGAAAAAATCCTACACATGGTTTAGGTGCTAGTACTGTTCACACAAACCAGACAGACAGATGGGCGAACGGACAGACAGACTGTCTGTTTTAAACTTGTTTTGACACCTGTTTTGAAACTACAGGTGTTACAGAATGGCACAGACATTCCCATATTAGTTTTCTATTTCTTTTGGTCTTGGTTACCTATTCCAACTTCCCACACACACATTCTTGCCTGCTGCCACTTATCACAGCCCAAAGTAAATTGTTTTTTTAAATCTTAATTTTTCAGTTTTCTAATTGTAAAACCCTGTTATTCTAAGATTATTAGATTTAGATTTATTTTTTAAAAAAGGCAGTGAAAACTGTATGTGACATATGGAGGAGAAGATCATCTGTGCTTGTTTCCTTGAGTTTCAGAATCCCTTCCCAACATTTTAACTATAAAAGTTGAAATATGATTAAAGTTCAAAATAAATAAATAAAAATAAATTTGAAATGAACATGAGATTAGCAATATTTGAAAAACACTAGACATTTTCGTTCCCTAGAAAACTTATTTGCATCGGTAAACGAATTGCAGGTGTGATTTTTCTGCATTGCCAACCAAATAGAAACTCGCCCTTACCTCTACTCCTACCATTACAAACAAAAGGAGAGTTCAACAAAATATGCGCATAGTGAAGCTACATTTACGTCCAGAAGTAAAACAAGGGGCCATCTCAGCATTTTCTTAATGGATCAGGAAAACTGGACAAAAACCGGATCGAGATGGAGGTCATTGACCTGGAATTAAAGTACATTATTTGTTACAAACATATTAAGTCTTTTTTTTAAATTTATACAAATTTAATATATTAAAGAACAAAACCTCGTCCTATATGGTAATTTTTTTTCGAACAATTTGGGGCAGTTTTTATAAAACTGGCATTTAAGCACTAAATAAATTCAAAATTTGAAGCTTTTTCCACAGAAAACTATTGAGTTTCCAAAAAACTTCATATGAAGTAATTTCAAGCACTTCCAGTCACAAATGTAATAATGTTTACAAATCGCTGAAGTGTGCATACTAAATTCACGAAAGTTATTTAAAAAATAATTATATCAGTGTACTCTTGGAAAACATACACTTATATACATGCTATAGATCTTTTTTTCATGGGTAAACTCTCAATTTTCAAAAATTTTAAAAGCATGAATTTTTTTCGGTGTTTTCCTTCAACTACAAAATTAGAGATAAATATTTTTCCTTCAAATCAAATTTGTTCTCCATAATGAGTTCTTTCTTCAAGATCTTGTACATTTTTTTGAAAATTGTGTTAGTTTTTGCGCTATATTGCGTTCAAGATTTTCTCAAAAACAGCTCCAAATCTTTTTCTTTAAACTTTTGGTAGGGGTAGTGTTAAATGCACTCTATATGATGACAAACACCATACTGGTCTATACTTTTGTTTTTTGAAAAATTACAACAATGAAATATTTTTACTTGTCTCTCAGGTCGTTAATATTTACATTAGCGGCAATTTCTTTACATTTTACATGTACATGTTTTAATAATGTGAAACAAAGTTTCCCAAAAACCCAATAGTTTTCCATGAAAATGAGCTCAAATACTGCATTTTCAGAAATGCTCAAACACCATTTTCTCAAAAACGGCTCCAACTTTTTCTTCAGATAGTGCTCATTGCACTATTTAAGATGACATAGAATTAATTTTGCTGTATTCATTTTTATTTTTTCAAAAATTACACAAATGTAAATTATTTGAAAGAACGCTTTCGTCTCCTATATGCACATTTTCAGCGATTTGTAAACACCAATGCATTTGTGACTGGAAGTGCTTGAAATAACATCCTATGAAGTTTTTTGAAAACTCAATAGTTTTCTGTGAAAAAGAGATTCAAATTTCCAATTTAAGGGTGCTTAAATGCCATTTTCTTAAAAGCAGCTCCAAATTTTTCAATGAAAATTGCCATTTAGGATAAGGTTTTACTGTTTTTTTAATATTCTCGAAATAATATTTCCGTACTTCTATTAGGAAGCCGAAAAATTAAGAATTTTTTTCAAAAAATGTACTTTGGTCAGCGATGGCAGCTGGGAAGAGTACGTGGCAAGTCCAAATAGCTGGCCGAGACCAATGGAATGAGAAATATAATATGGGAAAGTCAGCTATTCTGTAGCACCAACATCGTCAGCCCCGTTTTTTCATCTCATGCACCCTTCATCTCTCTCCTCGGCACCAAATTATATTCAAACGTGTCTCTTCTTCCTTCCTCGCACGCCAATCCTTCTCACATGATCTAACTCCTGATTGGTCACACAAATTTCAGCATAGTATCTGTTTGCACTTATTGACTTCTTAATTTATTTTCTGCCCCACAGAATTTGCTTACATGTCCTTTCACTGCATTATTTGTTAACATATGTATTTTTCCTACCATCATTCCTGTTGTCCCTTCCTTGTATTGTTTCCCAAATAAAACTCACTTCGGATTCCTTTCTATACCCCATTGTTGCAGTCATCCATATTTACAATTATGTATCGTGATAACCCATCACAATACTACATATATTACTCCATATATACATACATACCTACTGGTATTCAGATTCTAAAAATATTGAAGAAAGGCAAATTAAGCACGATCAAAGAAAAAATATATCTTTTCTACAAATACATGTGACCTTAATTATCAAGCAGTTTATTATATACAATGGCTTCTATTGTTTGTATGGAATGATAAAATGTACAGTTTGAATGACAGTCATTGAACATAGTAGTCAAATAACTGCATTGGATCCTTCCACAATTAGACTTTTTTCAGTACAGTCTACAACATATCAAGGATGGACTGTTGAATTACTTTGCAAATATTATATGAACTGCATCTAAGTAACAGAAAATATTTAGCATGAACAGTTTCCATTAATTTGAAAAAAAGAGTTGAAAAATTTGGAACAGAGATGACAATTCAATAACTTTCACACTCCAATCCCCAGATAAGTGTTCAAAACTTCAAGAGATAAATTCTAATGTAAAGACAACAGTTTCCTTTCAAATCAACTTTTTAAAAAACTATATTTGTGAATAATCCAAACTTGAAAGGTTACAAAGTTTGTGAAAACATTAATGCAGAATCTGTCCTGCAGAACATTTAAATTATGCAGCAAAATTGTTTGAAGTTTTACAGGATGAAGTCTTTCAAGTATTTGAAGAATTTCACGTATAAAAGGCTTGGAGGTGAACACAAAGTAGGCAATTAAATGAAAATTGTTCATGAATCAAATTATTACCGAAAACATTACTCATGAACCGAAAGTACTAAAATCATACATAAAAGAAAACAATTTTTTTATTGACCTATAATAATACAAATTTACATTACAATGCTATTTAGGTCAGTGACCCACAGTGCTTTCACAGTTGTTTTAATACAGTGCTTATGACTTTTCAATGAGTGATTAGACGAATCACAATTGTAAAACTATTTGTTGTAGCTTTCAGGTTACAGAATTTCATTAAAATGTGCTTTTAATTTTTTCTTGGCATACATATAACTTAACACTCTGCACAACTTACAACTAATGTTTAACTTCCATTTAAAAAAAGGGCCAAACCGAGACACTTATTCAGTCTTGGTATAAAAGTAAAAACAGATAATAGTTTATCCTCCCCCCATTAATCATATTTAGAAAAAATGTTAAAATTTTAATTAATAAACAAATTGATCACAAGTTTTAAACACTGTAAATAATTACATCAATAAACAAACAATAAACAAGTTTCTATATAATTATTTTCACATTTGCTGGATTTTTTCTCCAAACTCAGGGAAATCTTTCTCAAGCAGTCACCAAATGTTTCAGCAAAACTGGCCATTAACAGAGGTGATCACTTAATCAATGTAATTAGTTTACTGGAAGCTTAAATCAAATCTAATTGTTCTAAGTGCTATGAAATGAAGCATGAATCTCTTTAACATTTTTACCATAAATTTGAAATTACAATTTAAATAAGGTTTTTAGGATCATTTGCCTCTTCTAGTGAACAGGACTTGAAGGTGCAATTTACATTCTTTAGAAACATTACAACATATCAATCTGATGGAGTTAGCGAATGACCTTCAGATCGGATTCATGCACGTGGCTTGCTTTGAGAGTCCTTAACAAATTTCCACAGAAGAGAAGTACAAGGTAGCAAACTATTGGAATGCTGTAAAATGGGCAAAGCAAACACATTGTTGTGTCACTTAGAGATTTTTATTAAAATATGCTACATGAAACAAAAATTAATTCTCATGGAAGAAAAGTTTCACTCTATGTGTCACTTCAAAATAATCTCACTGCATCTCACTGCAGGAAGAAATTAAATCAACAATAATCTCAACCACTTATTATTATTCCACAGCTCAAAATTACTTAAAGTGACTGCTGAATCATCTAAATGTGCTTCCCTGTTGGCCACTGAAAAAAGGGAATATTTACAAGTGTCTTCGAGAAAAATCATTCAGTTTTAAGACAAACTGGTTGTTAATGGAGGTCACTGATTAATTAAGGTGGCTACTTGAGCAGGTTTCACTGTATGTCCAAAACATTATTAATATCTTAGGTTCCTAATATATATATATATATATTTATATATTATATATATATTATATTTATATATTATATATACTAGTATATATAATATATATATGTATATTATATATGTATATGTATATTATATGTATTATGTAATATCTATAATTCTATATCTATATATCTATATTATATATATATATGATATGTATATATATTATAGATATGTATATACTATTATCATATCTAATTCTATCATGTAATATATATATTTATATGTATAATATACTATATATACTAATATATAATATATATATATAATATATATATATATATATATATATAAGTCGTATATTTAATTCTGTAGTTTTTTATGGAACTGACTTAAGCAAGGCAAACTGGCTTCTAGGAGTAGGTACTTCTCACACATTTAGTTTGTCCAATGGGTAGTCCAGCCCTACCGCAGCTTAAGAACCTAAATGTACACAAAAGTAGCTATGAGAAGTACCAAATGTAACTCTAGTGTGCTAGGGTTAATAAAAGTTTTACACAATGTTTAACAGTACAAGACCATTTATATTTAACTATTTAGAACTCTACTTAGGTTGCACTTTTCCTGAAAATGAATACTAAAAAACGGTTTGACAAAGAAACATTGGAAATGTAAGTTTCAATTTTTAAGTCAAATGCATTATGTTACACATCACATTTGGATCAATAATCACTGAAAGCAATTCACTTCCAGAACTCAAATGACAATTCATCAAAGAGGGATCACAAAAACAAAAAAAAACTAAGTAAAACATACATTATATTTATTCGACATTTAGTAACAGATGTTTTTACAAAAACAAATTCACAAAAACAGTTTGTTTTTGATGAAAAATGGTAATTGAAGTATACATAACAAAATGCAAGTTCTGGTATGAACTACTTCTCTTAGCAATTCAACAATTCAGGATTAATGGCCACATTTCAAATTACAGTCTGTTTCTTGGAGATACAATGGAAGAATGCAGATAACTAAAATATCTGCTAGATGTTGTCACTTACAAATCTAGGAGAAATGGTGATAGTCACAATATCTGAGGACTCCATACGATCTACCCAAATGCTCACCGACATAAAGTGGCGTCAATCTGACGTAACCAAGGTAAGAGAAGACGAAGCTTCCGCCGATAGGCAGGATCTTTGGCTATAGGATTGTGCTCTAGGTAAACGGTCACCAAACTTTTGTTGGACGTGAGTATTTCTACAGTATTCCAATTTTCAATACGATTGGTGTTAAGCTGAAATGAAAGGCCATACACATTTTAGAAAATACGAAAATACCACTATTACTGAAAAAAATTACTATTGTAGTCTTCATTTTTTATTAAGTAATTATTATTATATGGCGTATTTACCCAAAGTTCCTGTAGGTGAGGAAGATGCTTTACACCAGAAATGGTTGGAATCTGATTTACAGCCAGATCAATAGTAGTCAGTTCCAAGTTATTTTCTAGTCCCTCAATTACAGAGAATCCATTTTCAGAAAGATAAAGTTGTTCTAATTTGGTGAGTTCCTCCAATCCTTCTATTTTTGTAAGCCTATTGCTCTGGGGAAAAAGTTAACAAGGGATAAACATATTCTCAGTAAACATAGCTGTATGATACAAATTGATGTTCAGAAACAGAGTAAGTGTAGCAGATTACAAGGATTTCACATTGCTAAAAAAAATATTGGCGACTTTACTCTCGTACCACCTTATCATTCATTCTTTATATATTTACTTTTTCTAGGGAAAAAGTCTGATAGGATTATCACTAAATAAAATAGAGGTATTATGAAACAATTTAAGGTGGTGAAATAATCAAATATAATTTTTTATTCTTCTGCCAAGGAAAATGAAAGATCCTTCTAAGAATTAGAAGTATCCACAAATCTACAATTATTAACGGAATTCATGAAACTCACCTGCAAACTGAGAATTTCCAGTTTCTTCAAAGACCCTAAATTTTCAATTTTTGTTATTTTGTTTTTGCCCAGAAATAAATTGGTCAAGTTATCAAGTCCTTCCAAATTCTCAATTTTCTACAAAACAAACAAGTAATTCAGAATTGTAGGGGGCAAGCAGATACTATTTCTCACAATAAATTCTAGTACCCAAGCAAGCACATTATTGGTAAAACAACTTTTTTCATCCATAACACTACTAAAAAAGACTATTTTCATTAATCCTACAAATATCAAAAATTGTTAACAATAGTAACAAAGATATTTCGTTGAATTTGATTGGTGAAAAATTATCCCAGGTATACCACAGTGACGAAGAAGTTCCACAATTTTTAAATTTATATAATCTTATTTCATTACTCTTTCTAGATAAAATAATAAGTAAAAAAAGTTGATGTAGCTTGTATGATTAACTAGTTACCAGATGTTTACACATGTTGATCACATTTGTCTGAATGAACATAAGGCTCAATCGACAAAGTGAAGTCAATAGAAATTATGTGAATCGCTACATCAAATAAATTGTCGAAATAATTTACAAAATACATTGTCTCATGAGTTTTTTCAGAATACTATGAAAAACATACACTTCAAAAATATATAAATAGATCAAACTATGCAGTCTTAATGAATCATCAACAATTTTTAATTCATTTCACTTAATTGAAATAATGAAGGTCATAATAAAATAAGCTCAATTTTGTTTACAAAATAGCTATTTTAAAACAATAAACCAAAAATACTTTTCACTAGATCACATCACCAAAACAATATTTTCAGAGTACACAAAACCTGTAAGCAGTCTGGTTAGATTATGCATAAGTCATGAGAACTAAGTCAGAATCTCCAGATAGCCTACAGTTAATTGAATGTGTACTTATGAAAATCCTTCATAACAATTCTCGATGATTTTATTACAGGTTACAAGTCTGAACTAGAAACAAAATCTTAACTAAAAGAGAAAATTATTTTTGTGAAGAATATACAACCGTAAAACAAACAATGATTAAAAAATAATTACCCTGATTTTGTTATCTCCTAACTCAAGCAGTGTAAGTTTTTGCAAGTGGTTCACATTCTCAATGCGAGATATCTTATTGGCGCACAGGAACAGCTTTTCTAAGTTCAGTAAATTCTCCAGTCCTTTGATTTCCCGAATCCGGTTGAAAGAAACATCCAAAACCCTGAATCATAAGGAAAACACTATAAATCTGTATTCTTACCACTTTAATACCAATAAATAACAAAGGTCTGCAATCAAAAAGCTGTTTTTATAATTTGATGTGATTCTTGTGTTTTTTGTTTTTAAGTACGTTGAAAGTGACGTACCATGACATTTTACCATAGTTTCTTCCTGAGATATTAGGTTCTTTTGCAAACGAAATGTAACTTGTTCAAACGGGTAGCAGAATATTGCTAAAATTTCGAATTCATCACATTTTGGAAAAAGACCTAACATAGAAAAACAAATTTATATTCACTGCCAGGGATCACAAAAACATGAAAATATACATATGCAGTGCTTGATATATAAAATTTTAGGTCCCAAAACGCCCCCCAAATGAATTATTTAATAGAAATAGTGATACATTTACAATATAATTTATTAATTATGCCCAAGGTGCCAAAACGCTGTTCTGCCTGAAATCAAGTACTGCACATATGTATTGGTCCTGATGTGAATCACTGCATTGTTGAGTGTGCTTGCTAAGCCCTACCCACACATGCATGAATTAACTTGTTCTCTGATTCCTCCACAATCTTTTATTTCATTTCAGTCTTTATCCAGCTATTGTCTGTGTGATTCAAAATTTGTGCAATACCTCTAGGATTGTATATAAATTCGCCTGACAATTTCTGTTTCGTAAGTGGAGACTTCATGGTGAAAAAGTAACAGTTCAATATTACAGATTTTGATAAGAAAATTTATTTGGTTTATTCTAAGTTAGAACCTTATGACCAAGATAAAGTTTGGTCTTCTCAAGTATATATGCATTGCACCAAAAACCCTACTTTTCTATGGGACAGAAGAGACCAACAAAAATCAAGATGGCTAGTTCCTGGTGAAAAGAATGTCCTCAGGGAAACATTGATACCCCCTGAGAAGTATTTATTTTCACCTCTACATACAAAATTAGGAATAATGAAGCAACTTTAAGGCATTTCCCAACAATAGTGAATGCTTCAAGTACTCGGGGTCCAAGTTTCCAAGTTTATCGGAGGGTAAACTAAAAGAGGAAGTTGTTGGGCCAGATATTAGAAAACTCATACCTGACAAAGACTTCAACAATTCAATGACTCCAAATCAAAAAGCATGGGTTTCCTTTCCTGGGGTCACAAAAAGTTTTTGGGAAAACAGAAAAGAACTAATGGACAAGGAAATAGTGCAGACAATGTCACATGAGCTCAAAAGTCCATTTTCTCAACTCACACTTTGACCATTTTCCTGAAAATTTAGGAGCAGCGAGTGAAGAGCAGAGTCAACTACTTCCATCAAGGTATAAAAGAAAAGGAAACAAGGAATCATTTTTATTTTAATTTGTTGCGTCGTATCATCTTAGTTATTGTGGGTGATCTGGGCTGTCCGGGTGACGCCGCGTCGAAGGCTGAGTTGCGCGGCGTCACCCGGACAGCCCAGATCACCCACATGACTCTGGTCGCGGAAGCCTACGACTTCATCTTAGTTATTTTTCATTATTTAATCAACGCAATGCATCTCTTAGCTCCTGATTGAGCCTTGAGCACTTTTTTCGGAGTAATCCCCAATTAATATCCCTATATTCCAGAGGGCGCTGTATTTATGTATTTTCGTCTCGTCAGTCAGTTAGCCAAGAGGACCGCCAGGTAGCATCTCCGTGTACACGCCTCTTACACCACTTGTCACCGCCCCTGTGTCACTACCCAGCGGCCAGAATTTGGAAGGAATTAGGAAAGAGGTAGGGTATAGGACACTTCACAGGAGTTGGACTAGCCCCAGTGAAGCAAGCAGACTTCTTTTGTTGGAATAAATTTCACATGAGCTATTCCAGGAATTGAACCTGGAACTCCTTGGTGAAAGGTGAGCAACTTCGCTCTGAGTCATGATAACACCATTAATCAAGGGAAATGGAGTGATACGATGATAGCTGACTACAGTTGAATGATGAACATGAATCTTTCGGAAGCCAGTACAAGAATAAAAGCTCAAAAATAAGTCCAGATTTAAAAAAACGATGATTTCATAAGCAATCCGATTCAGAGTGGTGTTACTTGTGTCGTCAACTGTACAAATGAGTTAATATTTTTATGTCAATAAAATTTTTGAATTAGGACATTTTTTTAAACTATGATCATGCATTTTTTTGAAAACCTGATGTCCCAAGACAAAACGGTTGTCTTTCTATGATTCAGACCACTCCAAAACATAAGAAACAGTCAACTAAACCGAAACAGTTTACCAAAAAACGTTTTGCAGACCTGTGTAATTATTACAACAATAAATGTTAATTATAAACAATAAAATTTTTTCAATAACTTAAGTTGTAGGTTTCATGCAAATGATCTTGGCTGTCCAAGTGACAGCCAAGATCATTTACATTTTTCTATAATATCAATTCCTTTTAAATACCCATTGTGTTTGAAGAACACTCCTGTGTTTAAAAAACTAAAATTTGTGACTCCACTTCCTCTAACCAAATGAGATCATCTTAAATAACAGTTATGATAAATGAGAGATAATATAGACTCCACCATTGACCAAATATGCAAAAAAACATTAACCTTAACATCTCACAGCACTTAATAATAGTTCATTAGTGAGTATATACGCCAGATTTAGTATTGCCTAAAAATTAGTATTGTGAGACCCATGTACAAGATGTTAATATATCTGAAATTCAAAAACTAAAGACCCAGTTAACATGTACCTCCTGCTTTGCAAAACCTTTTTGAAAAAATTATTGCTGCAGAGAAGATACTAATCTGGACTCAACATGGTTTTTGGAGAAATAATCCACTATACAGCTGCAGTTAATATCATAGCCTATACTCACCATCTGCAAAATAACCTGAAAAGCAACTGCCGAACATTTTAGACCGTAATCCCAAGCTTGACAGTGTAAAATCACAAGTTATTACTACTAAATCTGGAACACTTAGGGATACGGGGTCATATGCTTGAACTAATCAAGTCATGATTAACAGATCAGAGTCAAAGTGTTCAAATACTTTGGAAAACTGACAACTGCATTGATAAAACAATCAAAGATCAAACCATAACCTCTAATGTTCCACAAGAATCAGTATTGGGACCATTACAATATCTGCTATATGTCAATGATTTCCCATTAACACTGAAATGACAAAAACATATGCAGAGGTACAACTATAATTTGTGACAATAAACATCTAAGAACATTGGAGAATAATATGACAGAGGCATTACAACAAATATATAAATATACGAGAAATAACAACCTACATCTAAATGCAAACAAAACTAAAATAATACATTTCCGACACTGAAACCATGAAATAAACAACAATATCAGTGTCAAAATACTAACATGTTCATTTTGAGAAATCTTAAAAGATGCATGACAACGGTTAGCTCATAGCAATATATTAGGGAATCATTCATTCACATATACAATATGGTAAAGAAATATGGGGCAACATGTAATAGGAATATTGACAGAGTTACGGTTCTTCAGAAATAAACAACCAGATGCATTTTTAATCTACAACCCAAACAATCTTGCAAAAATGTATAAGAATTTGAAATATTAACTGTAGTAGCATTGTATATATACTACAATGCTCTTAATGAGAACACACACTTATGTGTGCTCCATACAAAACAATATCGTATACAATCTCTATACTCAGGGTCAGCTAAACTACCACAAGATATATGTAGATAAAATGTCAACAAACAAAGAACCCTACAGAAAAGGAATAAATACTCTATAACAAATTACCTAATAATATTAAAACAAGTAAAGACAGTTTCAAAAGCTTATTAAAAATATACCTCATTGAGATTTGCCCATATAAAGTGAAATAAAGTAAGGAATATTGTTACCATTAATGTTTGTTACTTATAAAACCAAGATATGAACAATAACATTTATTTATTATTCATTTATAACATACCCCTTATAAAAATTTATTCTCATTCAAGACACTTGAAACGCTTAAAAAATTTAAGGCAGAAATATAGCGTAGCATATGACATTCAACAGTCTTCAGGTAAACAATTCTGATACATAGCTACTCTGTTAGCATGCTCCGTTAGCTACTTCGTTAGCTTGAGCAATACCAGCCCTGAGGAAGACCACGACAGGATGGTCGAAACGTCGGCAACAACGTAGCCTTCGACACGGCGTCTCCCGGACAGCCCAGATCACCCACAGAAGCATAGAAGTAGCTCAGATGAAGTTTCTAAGGTCAGTGTAAGGAGTAACAAGAAGAGATAAAATTCAAACAATTAAGAAAGAACTGAAAATATAGCAGAAGAAAACAAAAATTACCAAAGGGAATCGAGAAAACACGTGAAAACAATGGACAAAACATCTACCACAGATGGCAATAAATTATAGACTGAATGGCAAAAAGGATAGAGGCAGACAGACAAGAAGATGACACCAGAATGGAGGAATACAGCTTTACTACCCACTAACAGGACAGGAGCACCGCTCCTAAACCGAGAGTGTTCATGATGATGATGATAATTCATAATAAAATACATAAATGTGACGCAATTATTTATCTACTGAACTATTACTCCTTAACCTCTTACACTGGAGAAATAAACTTACTCAAGATTAACTAAGGTATCCAAGTTTTCCAATATAGTGATCTGATTGTCATACAGTTCTAACTCTCTAAGAGTTACCAAAGTTTCTACATTCTCTATCTTCTTTATTAAGTTCCAGCGCAACCATAACCTTTCAATTTTGGTCAAAGGTTCCAGGTTTTCAAGACGTCGAATCCGATGATGATTTAAATCCAGTTCCTAAAAAAAAACAGGTCTTAAATTTACAGAGTTAAGTTCATAAAATTCACACTGTCAATAAAATCAGCTAAAGATGACACTTATCACAAAGTGAAACACTAATATTAACAAAAACATGTTATCACTGTCTTCACTTCAAAAATGGCATGAGACTTTTCTATGGTCATAAACACAACAGTGCACCTACACATTCGTACCTTACATCAGCCGTCACCAATTTTAATGAGGAGCACACATCATTCTGCACAAGATCCACAGGTAAAATTGACACAATTTTCAAGAAGGATGTAAAAATGAAGTTCATCAATGTAATTTTGATAGTAACAGAACTCAAAAACGTGAAAATTAAATGAAAATTTAACTTCTTTTAATTTACCACTTTGACAAAATAGATGATGTGAACAAAATTTTTATTGTTCCCCCATTTAATTTCCAAAAAATTTCCTACTAAAAAACTGTATTTACTATTTCAATATCAATAATCCAAATTCATCTCTACACAATGCATAATAAACACTTAAGGCAAAATGAGATGTTATACAAGGCATTCATGAAAAGAACACTTTGAAATACTCAAAACATTACAATTTACACTGTTCAAAATCTACCAGTTTTTATGGTACTTACGGAAGTAAGTATCGCTCACTTTTCACCACTGAACCTGAATAACATAATTATTAGTTACCAGATTCATAATTGATTTAAATGCAACTTTATAATTACTACTTTTCAACATCATCAGATAAAGTTTCACATCATAGGATATTCATTGTTCCCTCTACAAAAACTCCCATGAAATAATCTATAAACTTCACACAAAGGAATGTCTGGTCCCTCAAAAACTTCTCACCTCAGTATCTGGATCTATTATAAGAATCTCTCCAGATTTCTCATCATCATCGTCTCCAGCACCGTTGGTAGCTGAAAATGAAAATTGCCATTAACCAAATTAGTACAACATAAACAAGGTTTCATAATATTTAAAAAAGTTTGGTAACAATCTTAAAATTTCTTACCCGGTTGTGATGGATCATCCACATTTTCAGGAGGAGATCCGGCTTCTATAACACATAATTATACATTTATTCGAACATCGCGCAGCGAAATATGAAGCAGTACCCATGAGAGAATTAGAGGTGGACATACTTGCATCTCCATTGCTTTTTCCGTCCGACTCCATAACGATTCACAATTGCATCTAAAGGTCACAGTAATTTCTTACTATGAAAAAAATTATTGTTTACGCCGCCAGTCAATCAATTTCAAGACACCTTCAACGCCACACGTATGTCACCTGTCCATTCTTTAGGGAGGTTTGCACCTCGAAGCGTTAAAGCAATCGACAGCAGTATCGATATGAATAACGGGTGCGCCAACTCGAAATCGAATTCGACTACTCGACTGCGCATGCATCAACTCGAAATCGAAGTGTTGGCGAGCTCCATAATTGGTGGTGGAAAGAGCGGTGAGTCTCTCCTCTATGGTCAAAAGGGAGTTTGTGCCACCGAACGTAAAACACAGTCGATCTGCTGCGCATTCCAACGAGTTAGAGATCTCTAACTCGTTGGCGCATTCCCAGTTTATGTTTCGCAGCACTTTGATGCATCTGCGCAGGCGCAGATAGTGCATCACGTTCGAAGTGACAAAGAGTAAATGTTGGAAAGAGGGACAAAGGCGGGAGTCTAGAGAAGCAATGTAAGGCCAAATTTAATATAATATAATATAATATAATATTATATAGAGAGAGAGAGAAAGAAAGGGGGAGAGAGAGAGAGATTTCATTTCGAGGATCTTCAAATTTATATTATAAAATATTTACTTTTTTGTATTTTGAGAAAAAAAATCCCTATTCAGTATTTGAGCAATTGTGAGAGTGCGTGTGTGCAGATACGTCGACTTCGATCAGGTTTTTGTCCAGTTTCCTTGATCCATTGAGCAAATGCTGAGATTGCCCCTTGTTTTGCTTCTAGACGTAAATGTAGCGTCACTATGCGCACGTTTTGTTGAACTCTCCTTTTGCTTGTAGTGGTAAGAGTAGAGATAAGGACGAGTTGCTATTTTGTTAGCAATACAGAAAAATCATACTTGCAATTCGTATACTGATGCAAATAAGTTTTCTATGACTCGGAAACGTAAATGACTATTCTACAAATATTGGTAATCTTACGATTTTTAAAATATATTTTTATTTATGTTAAACGTTTACTTGATTTTCAACTATTTATAGTTAAAATGACGGGGAGGGATTCTGGAACTCAAGAAAACATGCGCAGATAATCTTCTCCCCCCTACCTCACATAGTTTTTTTACTGTTTTTTTGACTAAATAAATCTAAATCTAATACGTCACTCATGGTTAAATCACTTCCCGTGCACCAATTGAAACGTATGAGGTGTCATTCGATGCGTCTCGATGTCTTGGAGGGAAATGATAACATGTTTTCGGTTCCAGCCAGATTATTCTAAGAAATTTCCAAGAACGTGTTTTGGCGTGTTTTAGACTTATTATCTTGGTGAGTTGGCCACGAATTACGCCAATGCCACCCAAACAGATCTATGTAGGTTACATTGAAAGCGACAAAGAAATCGCCGCGCGGCAGATTTCATTTAATTTGCATCCGTATTAACGTATTTGTAAAAATACATTTGCAAAAACCTAAGAACACTATTGTCTTGGAATTTATTGAACTTGAAGAACTTCAGGTAAATACGGAGAAAACCTAACTGTTTTAATGCTACAGATGCACATTTACTTTCTTAATTCGACTTCTCACATTTACATTCTTAAGCGTGCAAATACCAATTTTGAAATGAATGTGAGTAGTAACTAGCTTATTCTTATTAAAACGGAACTAATACCTTATTCACAAACATACAAAAAACAGTCCCTTTTAAATGTATGTAGATTCGCCTATAAAACGATGAACAGATCAATTGTAAAAGTGGAAGTGAACACAATAGGACTGACTTTGTGGAGTTTACATCTCCTCAAAAATTAGGCATCATAAATATGGAAGAGTTAATCAAATTCGGGGAAGAATAAATGTGGTTGTAGAATTTTGCGACAGCATTTCGGAACTAATTGAGAATGATCTTATCAGAGAATATCGCTGAAGAACAGCTTACAGATGATTTTAATGTGAATGTTTGTGCAGATAAGCAAAATGCAAAAAATGCAGCTATCTTAAATTCTAACCTCTCAGCATCATTCATACCTGCAAGTATTTTTACGACGTTTAAATTTTTTGAAATTGCAATACTATTGGTTCATATCCCCCTTGGAGGTAACATGCAAGGCTATTGTAAAGTTTTGAACAGGAGTAAAACATTAATAGCAACTACGATTCATTGGTATGACCTGTGCTAGAGATTTTAATAATTTACTTGAACAAAGCTATGGATGACATAAATTTTCAACACATAAAAATAATTTGAAAACAGTTCACGGTGTCGGCGACGCCACATTCAACTAGTCCCTGCATAGTATTTGAGTAACTGTGAGTATGCGTGAATGCGGATTCGTCATATGGTTAAATCACTTCCCGTGCACCAATTGAAACGTATGAGGTGTCATTCGAAGCATGTACATGCACCAATCGAGGCATATGATGAATCATTCGACGCGCCTCTTTCTCCTCGTGGAGAACTAATAATTTGTTTTCGGATACGGCCAGAAGATTCTAAAAAATGTCCAGAAACGTGGTTTGTTGTGGCAAACTTGTTAAATTTGAGGAACAAGTGAATACGGAGAGAACAAATCTGTGAGTACTGAAAACATTTAACTTAGTACATTCGGCTTGTTATAGTTACGTTTTTAATAGTGCAAATACCGATTTTCCAATGAATGTGACTAACGACTTATTCTTAAGACCTTATTCGCCTAAACAAACAAAAAAAGTCGCCTTTTGCTGTTTATATATATATATATATATATTCGCCTACAAAAGGATTAATGGAGAAATTGCAGAAGTAAAAGTTAATACAAATTAGATTGAGTTTGTCGAGTTTTCAACATTTTAAAAATTAGGGAACAAAAATAGGGAAGTGGAAATAATCAAATATAGTTTAGATTTTGGGAGAGAATTTTCGGAACCAATTGAAAATGAACTTATTACAGAAAAACGCTTAAGAACAGTTTACGGGTGATATTGGTGCATTTTGTGTATATTAGTAATAAAGTGTACAAAATGTGAGCTGATTTAAATTGTAACAATTCGTATCATCCATACCTGCCATACCCTAAATTGAATGTAATAGTCTGAAAGCATGTATTATTGAAATGTATCATATTCTTTAGAATTGCAACGAACATACGTATATTATGATTAAATAAATTCTGTCCATTACAAATTTCCTAGTGTTTTTAATATTTGGAATGCCGAAGCGTAGAAGGCAGACGGAAAACATTAGGCCGTTGCCCATGTAAAACTATTTTCTTTAACGAATCTTCAAAAGAAACAATGTGTCAACTCCGCGAAACATAGGGATTCAATAGTCACCGAGTGTAGTGACTAACTTTTCTGTGATCCGGTAGTGCTAGCATGAACACAGAGTGTTAGAGACACCAAAAACTGCGCGTTTACAATTTTTGAAAAAGTGAGAAAGTGAAAATATACGAATGCGTTGAGTAAAATTCTTTATTTTGTCATATTTTTGAAGTATTTTCCCATTGTAATGTAAAATAAAGTTGCCTCCGGTTAGAATCAACTTCTGGGGACTGACATTTTTGGTTTACTATATCCGAGGATGTCAAAATTAAGGAGAATTTATCCACGAACATTGATTTTGTTAATATGCAGATGTACAGAAAACACATCAACTGCAAAGAAATGTAGGAACTGAAAATTTCAATATCTTTATTTTTCGTTTAAAATCAATAATTTTCAATTGTTTGCTTCGAACATTTTACATTACCTGCATTGTCCACTGACTCACAGTATCGAAATGCAGTCTTGGCAGGCGATAAATAAGCGCCGTGGTGCATCTACCAGCATATTATTTAAATTATATATTTTCTGCATTTGCGTTGCATTAGTTTTTACGAAACTTAACAATGACTGCGTCAAATTCTGAAGAAGAACCTGTAAATATTTCGCATTTATTCATACAATCCTATTTGAGAAATCGATGCTGAATTTTTGACTTGAAGTTCTTGAATTCACTTTTATTACCATATAAGATTGTGTAGAATGACACAGACTAAAACCAGCTCATGCTGCGATACGATTTAATTCCTTTCAATGATTATCCGAAAATATTTTTACTTGAAAGTCAGTTAAAATTAATAGACAGTGAAAAAATTAATTGAGAAAGAAGCACAATGTTGGAACCCACAAGGGAGTTCAAAGCCAAGGTCGGCCAAGAACAACATGGAGGACAGAGGAAAGAGAGATCCGGGAGATTGGAATGATGTGGAAATAAATCATCCATACAGCAGAAAACCGAGTAAGAGTGACATCCTCTGCAGATGCTTTATGCCCCGGAAGAACTAAGGAAGAAGTGGAAAAATGGGGGGGGCCCTCCCCCGTGTGTCGCAGAGAGTATATTTCTTGGGTGTGTCGTACCCAAGATACGAAGACAACCAATCTAGTACGTTGACTGCCACAATTCAAAAAATGAACCTTCTAGCCGAGCCCATTTTATTCGTCTACAGGTTAGAGAAGGGACTGCTGATTATACTCGATTGTATTTCTTGATAAACAATGTTATTTTGTGCTGTTGTTCTGAGAAACGGCTTTTGATTTTCACGGCCTTGTCACAAATCATTACAATGGCCAATGGCTGATTTTGAAAAGCGCGTCTGTTCTTGGTTCTTTTGAAGTACTCATTTGAATCATGTTTCAATAAAACTCATCTCTTATATTTTATTTATACTTTTCAATACCTTTCCCAGAAATCAGGCTTTGAGAATCAACGCTCGTTTCACCTAGGCGAACTCCCAAACGATTATCTATTGTTACAGCCGTATATTTTAATCTCCCTTAACAAAACACTGATTTGAAAAGCTAGCGCTGCAATTGAAACTCGTATTGGGAATCAACAATTAACTAGTTGATACTCAAAGCCATTCGGACAAATTCAGTTAGCATCACGTGATGCAACGTGCTAGAGCAATGCCACAAATTCCATGCGCAGATAATTTTGAAAGTAAAATGCTATGATCAATCACGTCAAATGCTGTTCAAAAGATCTAAAACATTACAATAGGTGCTTCATTTTGATCTACGGATGAAGCGACATCTCTAAGAAAATACGGCTGATTTCGTAATTTAATTTCCAAAATATATGTTGGCAATTTGAACACACTGAGAAAGTGTTACACTCATACGTGAGAAGGCTCTCAAATATTATTGGGAAAAAAGACAAGGAAATTGGCCAATAATTATGAATTTTTGTTTTGAATTGTGGCTTTATCTTGGCCGTTTTGAAAAATATCTGGTAAAGATCCGGGGCACAACAATGCATTAAGAGATAATGGTGTATAATGGCAAGTGCAAAAGTCTTAATCAGGAAATTCACTCAAAATGACCGAATATTAATTTTTTACTTGATACTATTTTGAGAATTTCATAAGTAGTTCCGGAAACAAATATAAGGTTTATGTAAAAGTCTCGTGATTAATTTTGTTGCTGAAGACCCTTTGCAAGTTCGGCAGTATTTTCTTAGCAAAAATGATAAACATTTGTTCATCAATTTGTGAAAACTCACCCCTGAAGGTTTAAGACAAACTAAATTTTCATTTTAATATAATTTAGTATTATATTAATCGTACATATATGAACAGGAAAGAAATTTTGACGTCTTTTGGGGCATTTTTTACTGAAATTATTCCAAAATCCTTTATTCTGCAAATCTCTAATGAATTAAATTTTACTACTAAAAATTATTTGCATCTTTATGGTACTATTTTAATGTACAAGTTTTCAAAATATTCCTTCTCAGATCATTCAACATGCCAGGTGACATTGCAAAGCTTGAAGCAGCATGGGAGGTAGACCACATTGAACTTGTTAAACACCTAAGAGTATTTGGCAACCACCTGTGTTGAACTGGCAGCAGAAAGATATTAGAATGAACTATAGTAAGGTAGCTTTACTTTTTATCTGAGCACAGATAGAGTCCAATGAAGTACAATGAAAGTGTGTAATAGCCTAATAGTTTGGGGTTAATCCGTGAACTAGAAATATTGTTTTGCAAACCATAAAAAGATACTCTACTAATTCCCAAATTTTGCAATACATTAGCTTTCATTAGTATTGATCCTGAATGCTTTCAAACAATAAGCTGTGCTGTATTCAACTAAGATTACTTAACAAAGGGTATTGTTATTTGTAGAATTTGAAGATTATACTATACAATCTATATGTATGATGCCATTGTCGCAACAATCAAAATAAAACAAATTGTAAGTTACAAAAATCATTTATTCAGACATGGATAACATTCAGACAAAACAATCTCAAGCTTATCCATTTTTAATCTTGGCAGATTATGAATCCAAGAAAGGCATAATATCTTCTCCCATCTTCCAGTATAAATAAATATACAAAGCCCTGTAGCTCTCCTTATAATTATTTACACTTAAAAGGCTGTCTCAAGCAATGTATAACTGATGTAAAACCAAATTTGCATGAAGACAAAATGGATTTTTTAAACGCAGGTCACCTCACTCATCCTCATTTGGTAGAATCTCTGCAACAAAAAATTCCATTTAGCAACAAGCAACAAAAATAATTATTTAGCAACAAAAGCAAAAAACTGTTTTGCCCGTGGAGTTAAACACTTTTGCAGTTGTTCAAAAAAATGCACAAGCAATTTCCTGTGGCATGTCTAGCGCCATACACACAAAACATGTGAATGGTATTAAAACATGCACTTTCAGTAAACTGTATTCACATGGACCCTGGAGTTTTAAGTTAAAATTAAAATGGATTGCATGTTAACACCAACCACAGTCCTGTATTGTTATAAGCCTTCACAATCTTTTCTCTATGAATAAATACTAACACTATTGGTTATTCATAAAATATCCTCGATTGAAACAAAATGTTTAATCTACATCTCAAGTCATGCTGTAATATAACTACCACTGGCATAAGCTATTGACTGTCAGATCAAGTTTCTTCGTCATATCAATTAGTTTCCAGTCGAAAACTTTCCATCTGATTACTAGAGTGTATGTATATTGTAATTTCAAGCCACTCTTGTACCACAGCCAAGACCTACAGCAAATTAATAGTTGTGCAATATAATTCTTTGGGGAAGAGAAAGGGAATTGCAAACTAATTTCAAGCAAAAAAGCAAAGATTTATCACTTTTTGGTTTTCAGAATGAACAAATATTAATATTTTGTTTAAAAATGTGACAGCTAATTAGCTTGTACAATAATCTCCCACTACTCTGGAACATGAACATTTCTTCAGGAAAGGCATTTGTACATAAGTCCATTAAGGCCACCATTATTTCCTTGAACAAATTTCAAAATTTCTTGATATTTCAGCATTTTCCCCGTACAAGTTCCAGTACATTTTATACTTCAGTGAAACCAATGACCAATTTTTATATAAATATTGTAATCCTGATAAAAGAATCTCCGTAAATGTTTTAATTAACTGCTTTTATTACACTTCACGAAAATTTTAAAAATACAGATAACCTAAAAATTATACATTTAAAGTGGAAATTCCAAGGCATTCCCTGTGCCTGAGAATAATCAAAGGAATCAGTGGGAGGGTTCTAAGAATACTTAACACCGTGGCTACTTTTATGGCAGGCCTTGCAAATCTTATCACACTCGTAATTTGTTCTTACTAATGGTACACCTTGGGCACTATGATTATGTTGCACCATTATCATATTCTTGTGAATGATATGCAGACATCATTAATTAGAAAATTTATGGATTCATTTTGTTGTCAAGCTTATGCATACTCCAGTTAATAAAATTTAAAAAACAAAAGACCCTGCACTTTCTAATAGCATTCAAAAATACTGGTCAAGGAATAAACCTTGATATTCATTCATAAAAGTAGATCTCGCATGAGAAAGTTGCCCAGGTATGCCAATGCAGGGAAATGGGTATCTGTAATAATTATATCCATTGACATCCTTGGCATCCACTGCAAATTTGCCAGGCGATTCAGACCCATCTTTTTGAATAGGACAGTCGACAAGGCCACATGGGCAGCCTGATGCCCTGCAAGTGCAATCCACGTATTCCAAGGGACTGAATGAAGGAAGGATAAAAAAATCACTAATATAAGTACACACCTACAAGCAACCACAAATATTGGTAAATATTTTCTAGCAAAACTTCTCACACTTGAAAACTTTCTATCTCCCACATTACCCATGAAACAAAAGAACAGTTTAGAGTTCACAACTTGATCACAAGCATTAAACGATTTGAATTTTAAATTTATTCTGTTAAAGAATGTGAAAGAACCATTACAGAATCAGAGACTGTCATCCAAAAAGGGAAAGGAAGAAAATTTGGAGACAGAATGATCTTAGGTGACATCAGATGAAACACTAAGAACACATTCAACATAATAAACTTTGAAAGCATCTAGAAAAACAGTGCAATATGCAAGGAACAAAAAAATAATGATGGACGAGAAAATAAAGACAGTGACGAATTCAAGGTATAAGAAAGTAGTGATAACACAGGTCATAAGTTTTAATATTCTCCTGAAGATATTTTGCAATTCTATTTTAATTAAATTATAAGAATCAGATAAAAATGAAGTGTTATTAAAAGCCACTGCAAAATTTGGGGGAGGGGGGACCTTATATTTGGATAAAGACAGTATACTTTATTTTTTAGGTGAACATTTAATATAAATCAGTAAAAATTAAATTAATTTATAAACCACTAGTGAAAATTTTATTGATTTTGTTCACAATTATAATTGTTATAGGAAGCCAGCAGTTTAAGTTCAATCAGTTGAACTTTAGTCAAAATAAGTATATGAATTATGGCCACATAGTGAAAATAAATGGGTGTTGAATAACTATAGTATTAGTACCGAATTTACTATCCACAAAACATATTTGAAGTTTTCAAAGAAACTTGCTAAATTTTAGTTTATAAGCAAATTAGATCCATGAAATGTGTATAAAGTTACAAGATTTACTGAAAATGAAGTTCCGCAACCGATTACTGATCAATCTACAGAAAAGTAACTGCCTACCAAACGATCAATTTTTAACGTGAATTATTCCAATTCACATTTAATTTCTTCACATATACAGTGAAGCCTTGTAATCTTAAGGTCCCAGACAATTTACCATTAGTACAGGTAACCATTTAATAGACGTTATCCAAACTTGGGAAATGCATACCTAATTTTGCTGTTAAATTTAATGGTGAGAATTTATTAATTACACCCTTTTAACAACTTAGCAACAATTACACAATACACAGTGATTTTCATGGATGTACTGAAGTTAACAGAAATTAATCACAATTGCAACAATAGTTCAACAACCTGGCAATCCATATTAAAACAGGAAGATACGTAATCAACATTTGGTCTTGTGCTTCTAATACAGAATGATCAAAATGGCAATTTTAACAGGATGTTATGTCTATATAATTCAAGTGAATATATGAAATGTGCCTAGCCACTGACCACAGGGAGAGGCAACCTTTGAGGTCACTTTTAGAAGAGCTCAAGAAAAACCCCATCACTATACACTTTATTTAACCATGCACTTTACATTAATCACCTGTTCATGATTTCATCCAATCAGGAGCTTTAACGTCCCCATAGTGCCTTCACTAGTGACAAGCTCTTGACTGGATAAAACCCCACAGCAAAAAAACCCCCATCAAATGCAAGACTAAATAAATCTTACTATATTGACTAGATTTGATCCTCTGCTAATGAGGTATTTGTAAATCAAAATTGGTGGTTTTATATGGTTTGCTTCCTTGCCCTTCATTCTGCCATTTCCCCATTATTCACACTATCAGTACCTACTCATTACCCTTGGGCCTTCTTAACCGTAGTATACTGAAAGGTCCCAACACCCCAATACTATGGGAAAATCAAATGATCACAGTTCCATTCCAGAGAAAAAAAATATCGATAGTGTAAGATCCTACTCGACCAAGGTGGCAGTTTCAGCAGGTTCCTGGATACTTCTTTAATTCCAAGAACTATAATATCACTTAATGAAACAAATTCTCTCCAAAAATTTTTATATTAAGTTCTAAACAACCCCTTTACAGACTGGTTGCAAACTTAACCCTTATCAGCCAGCATTTCCAGGTTTACTACAGAAATTGCCATAGTGAACACTTGCCTTTCTCTGAAGTACCTTCATGATTATCATCTTCAAATATATCACACACCAAACAGTAATGTTCACAAATGACCTTTATTAACCCTAAATAGGTACTGTGGGGGGTCAGATCCCATCCGCATGATTATTTTCCCCTTCCCTTGCATTGCTCTTTATGGTGTCGGGTGATCTGGGAACCCTATAAGCCACTCTTCCGGAAGATGCCAGCACTGTCACAGTGGTACAGGAGAGGAACCTTGACATCCTGCCCTAGTGTTTTATCCTGAGAGGTGTGTTGTGGGTCACATCTGTCCCAACCATACTATTGAACCAACGAACCTTTACCAAACAATTTCTTTTTCTCAATTTTAGTCCAAAATGGCTCCAAATTGACTAATTTTTAGTTTTCATAAAATTATAGACCATTTGCTACATCAACTGTCAGCTTCAAGACAATGAAGCCAGACTGATTTAACAAAATGTTACAGAATCAGAAGATGAAACTACTGGTAAGTGTCCTGCCCTCTTCCTTTCTTCATAATTCCTGTTTTGTGATTTACATAAAGCAGCCCACATTTTGTTTTGTGATGGATTTTAGGAAATCAGTTTCTCTTCTCACACGAAGTCCGTCTTTAAAAATGAATAACAATGCTTTCAAATTTTTTTGGGCGCTTTATCTGAAATAGATTTTCGGAAATCTACAGAATGCAACAAGAGTGGTTGTGCATTTATTTCTGTAATAAAAAGTAAATTTTTTATTCAAAACATAATTGATCTGTTATAATTCAAGGACTTGTTTGTAGGTTAAAAATATACATTAATGTTTTTTTTATAAATTCCAAGTATTCACTGCAAGCTTTTCTCCATTAAAAGCTGCTTTTACTTTTTATGTAATAGACTGTACATTTTACTTTTATTACAAGATTACTTAAAAAATAATCAGTGTTCACAATATTCTGTTTAACTGACAATATCGATGTTATTAAATAAATAAAATGTGATTACAATTGGAAACATTTTGCACATGATTCAATAAAAAACCCTCGTCAAAATGAGGTTGGTTAGGATCCCACCCCACCATACCTTCTACCTAATCACAAACCACAGTACTGATTGAGGGTTAATAATGTAAAATTTTGTTCTTAAGCAGCAAAAAATGCATTCACAGCTACCTAAAATACCCTTGTTAGTTCAAAGTCTGGACAGAAAATTTTAAAACCTTAAATATGAGGCACACTATGCACCCAAATAATAGTTGGTAAAAGTTGCTGAACACACATGAAGCTGCTATCAACCTCTGATAATATGATTTTTAATAAGATTTCAGATTAAAATTGTTCACTTACACCAGAAGTATACAGTTAAAAACTATAAAAATTACATTGAAGTTTTATTTGTAACATACCAATAATCCATAAAAAGTTGCAATCTAAAACTTCTCCTCCTCTAGACCATGCTTGAAGAACATAAGAACTGGAACACTATCTCCATCAATTTCACGATATTCCAGCAAGGCCACCATTCCGTCAATATCCATTGACTCACCTGTAATCAATGTTAATAAGCATTTGATCTTGTATGGCATTACAGTATTATTATAATCTAACATTCCTCAGAAACCCTAACTTACCAGTGAAAAATTGTAAATCTGAAAATCTACTCAGAATGTCTTTCATAACTTTGTTGGTGTTGTTCTTGAAAACACTAACTTGGTCAGGAGCTTTTTCTTCCAATCGCTGGACAAGCCTAATAACAATGCACTAGTTAACACACTATCTCGGTTCATATTCGAATACACTAGAGAAAAAAATAGTCGTATAAACTCAAAAATTCATTGCACAAATTTGAAATGCTCAATCTGAGTTTTCACACTAACAAGATGTGCCATATAAAATATTAAAATTACTTAAAAAATGAAAACCTATACAATGTCCTGTAACATGACTCCTCCAAAATTCATACCATTTTCAAGGAATATTAACACAATTTGCAGCTCATTTGTAATTGAATAAACTTACTTTTTCATGTAATCTTTAAGGTAAGCAGTATAGCCCTTCTTGTCTCCGAAAGCATAGGTTTCACAAAGTCTGTGGTTGAGTACAACATCAACTCCAGATTCAACACCTTCATCGGTGCCTTCATCAGCTTCTTCTTGAGAAGGGTTGGAACCTTCTAAAACGACGTCTCCCTGCTTTCTAGTCACAAGCTGTTAAAAGGGACAAAAAAATAGTGTCAAAAATTCGAAAGGTTTTCTTCACAGATGTTGGCTAACGAGTTCTCTTCTTTCACAAAATGTGACTACGAAAACTCAAAGCACATTATGTCGCACACTTTGCTCCCATAAAATCTAAGACAATATGGGTATTAGTATGTGCAGGCGTAAGCTAATTTCCATTTAAATACTATGACTTACTTTTCCATAAATTTCGTACATAACATCATCGATGAGCTTCATTTTGTAGGAATCCGAGAACATTTCATCACCTAAAAGAAGAAGTTGAACAATTTAACACTTGCACTTGTAATATTCATACCAATTCATAGGCTAACTCTAGTCGATATGTGTAATGTCACAATAACGCCTGTCTGGAACGCTTGACACACGCGAACACCAAGACACTTATTACATTTTTAACTCGTTTTTCCATCGAAACATTGACAAATTATACTTTAAATTTAAAGAAAACCACGATCTGAGTAAACATACCGGTAAATATATCCTTGTAGATCCTCATTTTGGAAGATGGGAATAGATTTCGAACTCAACCAACAAATTCCTCTACCTTCACCCTGTAGAGCACACCGGAAAGGGCCTTCCCACCCCTGCGCAGGTTTTACGTCACCTCCGTTTTCACTGCCCAGTCGATACTTCAACACCACGTTTCCTATCGAGTGCGTTCAATGAGTAATTTTTCATCAAGCGTGGTTCATTTCTCATATATTATTACACAAATTATTTCTCCGTTATCATAACATTTTAAATCAAGTTAATGATGAATTATTTAAACGTGTCTATTACATTATATAGCATTTTTCTATTACACTGTCATGAAGTGAAATAATATTTAGATTATTATTTAATTATATTATAATTATGACATTGTTTATTTAATATGACTTATTTTTAATAGATTTCTAAAGTTAATAGTACATGTTAATTATTATTTCAATGCAATTAGGTTTTCCCTACGATAATATTGTGAGTAAAATACGGTTTCACACACATATACAAAACGAGATTCCTGAAAACGAAATAATGAAAATGAAATACATTGTGTCAATAGCTGCAGAATGTACACTTGCGTTAAAATTATATGTTTTTTCACATGTGATAATTCATAGTTTTACAAGTAAACCATAAAACAATCATATTCGTCCATGATATTATGAATATATATTATTAGTATTTCGTATATATACTACGACTGCATAGGGTTGAAATTATCACATTAAATAAAGACTTCCAAGATTTTTAACACAACCGTCAAAATTAAATGAATGTTCAGGAAAAAGGCGAGATTGCCTAATTTATGCAACTATGCGCCATTAGTTAGCAAATCATTGCAATATGCCCTTATATTAGGCATTTTTCAAACCATAAAGTTGGAGCAATCATCAGCAGTGAATACTGCTGGGCTACATGGGCTACTGAGCTGACCAATTTTGAAAATAGTATAGCCTCAGTAGCAGAATATTAATACATCAAACCAAACGAACATTCATGATCATTGTGAACTTTTCGATCCTTCTCACTGAAATTAATGTTAATTTATTTTGGCCTGAATTTCTTCAGGTTTTAATAAAACTTGACAGAATTCATGCAGAATGTAATCTTGTAACATTTAATTTGATTTTCTTTTAAAGTATCCATTTTCGTTCAGAGAATTCTGGACTGATTACTACCCCACTGACACTTCGTAGACCAAGGTCAAAACTCATATAGAATTAGTCACGGAGAAGTTAATTAGAACGCGCTTTAGTAAATCGCGCAGGTGCAACGCGTGTGGAAAGCGTCCTGTTGTCAGTGTCATAGCATCAAAGCAAGTATTTTGTATTTTCGAAAAACTATCTAAATTTTCCTGTTGGAATTAGGTAATAAATATAGCTTGAAGTGATTTTTCTGTCCTTGTTTTTACTGGTGTCTATATTAAGATCACTCGAAAACTATTCGTGTTTTACAGCAGGCGTTATTAGGAAATTTTGCTTGTTTGTGGTAGTGTCAAACCTGAAATTGATATCGCTTGATAAATCTAAATTCTCAAAATTGTGTGGGTGAATTTTTGCCGTCCGGAGAGGTGTGTTTTAATGATCGGGTGTAAACGGATGTCAGTTCGCGTAAATCGTTTTTGTTTAAACAGCACGTTATTTAAGTTTCATGTTGTATTAAGTACCATGTCTTATAATTTTGATCGATTGTTCTAGCATACAAATTTGATCGATGCCCTACATTTTAGTGAGAGGGAACCTTGCATCTTATGGTCATCGTCAACCGTGGCGCGTTTTAGTATCGGGACTAAAAGGTATGTGGGGACTCTTTATGAGTACTAGAAATTTGATTTTGTTGTTTAAGTCCATGAGATCAGTGAAGACTTTATATATGACCTTTCAACAATTAATTGTATTGCTCTTGTTTTGTGTCTCAAAGACTATAATTAGCCTCCAGAAAATGTTTTTATTTATGAACATTTCACAATGGTTGAAAACTTCATCAATAAGCAAAATAAATAAATAAAATTCTGTAGTAGATAATTTTGCCTTGCTTTTTTGGGTGTAGAAGTATTGTTGACAGGAAGAATCAATTGCCAAACTGTATTTTCTACACATTTTTCTTGTGTATATTAAACCATTGACATGCAGTCATTATGTTTCCTGGACTTGCAAGTTGTTTAAGGAAAGTGGTTGTTGTATGGGATGTAAATGCTAATGTCAAATTCAGTCTGATTTGGTAGTCTTCAAAGAAATACTTTTCTGGGAATATTGCAATATTCTAAATTTTCATGCATGTAAGATGTGTAAAAGTTTCAGGGATATTTCTTTTGTTTAATTGCTTCATTTAGTTGTCACAGTATGCACTCACAGTATTATTGAGTCTCTATGCAATATTCATTGAGATAAAGGTTATGGTGATGTGCAAACATTGTCATTAAATGTATGTGAGCTTTATTGAAAAATATGTTCTGGTTTGCAGACTTTTTACTTACCAAGTCTTGTTCAGTCTTTTGGTCTAAAAAATAACTCAATTTTTTTCTTTAAATATTCTCCTTTTGTATCAAAGTAACAGTAAGAAAATATGGTCCTAGTCTCATTTCTGGTGAATACTGTATTTTGAAAATTGCAAAAAGTTTCATTTCAAAACTACAAAATTGAAGATAGAGCTTGTTGCCTCAAATAAAATCTGTTTTAAAAAATCACATTTTCAACTTGACATTTTCGACTTGTGTAATTTTTTGAATAAAAAAAAAGGGAAAAAGTGTTATTGTAAAGCAATTTCTGCTGAAAATTATTTCCAAAATAAATAAAATAAAATAAAAACTACTCTAGAGCGACTGCATCATGTAGAGGTAAAACCACGGCAAGTTAAAGCTGTGTACCTGAGTTCGGGTTTTGCATGGGGAAAAAAATTGCTGGTTGGTAACACTTGCAGGTTAGTGGTATAATATTGCTGAGCCAATATAAATAACGCGAAAAAGTATGTGCTGTTGTAGCTTCACTAGTTGGTTTAGTGGGAATGAGAAAAATGTATATTGCAAAAACTTTCTTTACATTAGGAAGCTTAATAGCTATCTTAGTTGAAGTTTATTGAATTTGTCTTCTATTTGGTTTATTGTTTCTTTATCGTTTGCACAGTTGTTATGTACTGGAGTATGTGTTAGGAAGTACGAAACCTGGTACATGCTACAAGTATTGCCAAGTGTTGTACAAAAGGAAAATTGGAGAAGGATAGCAGGGTGGTTTTGTGGAGTCAATAAATATCATTCATTTAAATCACTGTCCGAATAACAATACACTGAATTACTAATTATTAATAAAATTAAAAACCTAACTTGCATTGCGTGAACTTGAACTTTAATGATAGCCATCATAATTATGTGTATCTCAATAATAATCCTGCATAATCAATTTGTGTCCTATTAAGAAAAACATTTTAGTTTTCTGTGAGACCTGTGAATAATATGTACATTATACAAAATACTCTAGTGGTTATGTTCTCCTTACCCTCAATGAGAAGCAGACTTCACTTACCAAATTACCATAAAATATTGAAGTTTTTTGTAGACTGTCATGCATTTATTGACTAGAAATATTCTTCTTTCTCATGCTAATTCAAATTAACTACTATAAGGTATTTCTGTTGCCCGGAGAGGTGAATGTTATTTATCTATTGGGGGACTTTTGAAACAAGGGTACCCTGGTTCTTATATGATGGTGTTTACGTTTTCTGGCAGATGGTGACAATTAGTTTAATTTTTACGAGATATTTGATAATGATTTGTGACCAGAATGTACTTCAAGATTATTGGTGAAGTACTAGCACATTTGAAATTCATTAATTACTTCAATTTTATTTTGTTGTTGTTGTAGATGACAACTTTAGCAACATGCGTGTCTCTTGTAACCTAGTTTATTCTGATTTCAGCTTCTGATATAGAACAACTAAAGAGATTTGCCTCAGGAGGGTACAGTGATGATTCCACCATTGTCTATTTAACACATCCATGTGTAATTCTCACGGCTCTTGAAGTATTGGGGTATAAAGTTGTTGCATCATCATCAACTTCTGTTAAACAAGATTATAATGAGTATATGTGGACTATGAGAGCAGAATTTGCAGAACCGGAACCATTAATGACATCGAAACCTTGTAAGTATTGAAGGAAGGAATTTTAATAATGAAACTTTTTTATTTTGAGTAATTTCTCATCAAATATTTTTTCAAATTTCTTTCATTGAAACTCTGAACAAGAGACAAAATATTGATAAAATCTGGAAACAAAAGGAAAAATCGCTGAACTTCAACTCTTGATTCATCTTGCTTTTATAACAAACTATTTAATATTATAATTGTTGACAAAAATTATTTCTTTTGATTTTATTTCTGAAATGTGGTATGTATATTGTTGTTTACAAAGGAGATCATTTTTTGATTGAATTGGTCAATTTCAACAAATTTAATTCCCACGTTACATGCAGAGAGATTTTGTTTATTGTGATAGAACAAGAAGAAAATGATTTCAAATTATATTTTTGCATCTATTAATTTTGTTTAAAACAAATGTAATTGCTTACTAATTGTATTGTAAGCAAGATTATTCAAGAGTAAAACATATCGATTGTTTGGAAATGAACATTAAATTCTTAAAATAAACTTGAACACTATTATTAGTTCTTTTAAAATTAACAAGTAATAGTATTGTAAGATCTCTCAGTATGATAAATGTGAAGGCTGTTATTTGAAACGAGATATTATAGACATTTTGAATTGTTTAAAAATGGAAATTGTCTCTGCTATCCATTTTTGCATATTAATAAACAAAATTTTTCATTGATATTGCTTTTGAACATTACAATACACAATTGCTGTCATTGTTGTGCCCTACATACATATTTGAAAAATAATATTTGTATTGTCGTTATTTCATCTGTATGTAATTAGTCATAGTGATTTTCGTATAGAAGAGATAACTGGTCTCTAGAACTTGTAATGTTTTCATCTGTATCTTTTAATTTCTGTTATGTAGGCAAAATTAAAACATGAAACAAACATTAATTGAAAATGATTACATCCTAAGTTTACATACTTAAGAGACTTTTGTTGAAATATTTAAATAAACATTTTAGACTTGTGCTTCTGGTGGTGTATATTTCAAGCTGACAATACTGATGTGTTCTTATTAGAAAGAAATTTTAAAAACAATAAAGTTGCCTTACTCATCTGTCCTCAAAAACATGAATTACTTGAAAAATTATCAATCGAAGTACTGTTTAAAAATTTGTGTTTCTTTACACTGTAGTAAGTTTTAACTATTGTCAGTGTAGTAAATTATGTACTAAGGATTCTTGTTGAGCTGGAAAGGCAGTGTAGCAATCTACAGCATTTCAGCACTGTAGGTACTTCAAAATCACCCTAAACATTTAATTCAGAATTCTTCCAGAATATTCTAGAAAGATCAAGCTAAAACGGAGCTAATCAATTCATCTTGATGGGAGCAATTGGATGTATCACTTCTGTAGGTAGCTTCAAAACTCCCCCATAACATGTTTTAAGTGTTTAACCCATTAAGTAGCAAAAGGTTGTGATTTGAAAATATTGTATTGCTGTATGAGGAGAAAATTTTGGTATGGTTGTATCAGGAGGAAGGTTCTGATTAAATATATTAACACATTTTATGAAAATTATTTTTATTTTGGAAGTTGTGAGATAGGAAGATACTATCCCAGTGGCAGATCCTGAACTTACAATAGTCATGCGTAGTTCTCTGGAATAAATTTTTTTCATGTACCTATAAGTCCAATAATGTTTTAGCTTGTAATTTTATGGACTAAATAATCAATAGATGAAGTTGAATGAAAATAATCTCAATTCAAAGAGTGAAATATGTGAAATAAAATAGAGCAAAATAATTAAATCCAATAATAAAAAAATCCAGAGTTAAGAAGTGTTCCAGAGAGGTGTGTTACATTACCTTTTTTATCATCAGGGACACAAGAAAGATGAGTTTTGTTCTAGGAAGGAAAAAGACAATTATGTTGCAACATTTTATTTTTGGGTAGATTTGGGTGCAGTAGGTATTATGTAATGTAGAAGCTGTTTGTCTTTCAGTAAATAAACAAGATTCTCCATCTACAATACAAAAGGGAAATATAGATCTCAGTTTGTCTGTTGGGATGAATGATTGCTATGGAACAACGTTGCTCAGTTGCAAAATACAGGCGATGGAGAATCGTTTGAAACGTAGCATGACAAGGTATGAAAAAGAGCTCTAATAAGAAGTGAAAAAAAGTGGTGGTGGAGGGGGGGGATGTCAGTTCCTCACACATGGACTGAGATGCATCAAGTAACACTTCCTTGGTCTTGATTGGTGAACAGGGAGGGGTCTAACCATGAATGACACACAGGTTACTCAATTACTTTATAAGGATGTTTGTTTCATGTTATAACAGAAACATCTATTTAATATTGTAAATTCAAATGACCCAAAAAAATATTTCTAAGAAATTTTATCGTTGAAAGCAAAGGTGGTGATTTGCTGTTTCCTGGATTCTGTGTTATGGGGTGGCTGATATTGTGTTAGTTTGCATTAAGATATTCAACACGTGCCATCTCAATTTTTGGATTTTATTTTAGGCATAAAATGAGACCAGCAATGAGGCAACTTCTCAATTCAGAAATATCTTTTGATTAGTCCATGAAATAGTGAGTAGAAATTTTTTTTGAATCATTGGATTCCTCTGTGTTAGAGCATGTATGTCTGTTGAAATATGTACCTAATATAATTTAATAATAATAATAAATGGACTTTTGTGCTATATTTCTTTTGTATGTTTGTTTTACATAGATTATTAACTGGTGAATGTGAATCTCATTTTTGATAATTAATTGCTGAACTATGTTCTTCTGCCTTTAAAGAAATTACATTTGTATATCATAATGACATACTGGAAACATGTATATAGTGAAACTTGCTGAAACGGTTACATCAATATAATGGTCACCTCCATTAGCAATTTTTCTGGAGACCAATTGATTTTCCCATAAAGCACATGTAAATATCCCCTCTTTAAGCTGGCCACCAGGCCCCACTGTCAGTGGCCAGGCACGTTTTTTTGAGTAAACTGTTTTAGACTGTCACTATTTTGTGCTTATAAATTTGCGATTGTGATTTCTAATGCTACAAAAAAACAATAACCAATGGATATTACTATTCTTTTTCTTTAGTACATTTGTGCATTAAGATGCAATGTCAAGTTGTATGGAACAGTGATATCTCAGTTGTTTATTTTGCAGGGTGATTGATTGGGCCTCAAATCTTGAAAAATGATATTCAAGCATGATCTGATATTTCCCAGAGAAGTGTAGCATGAAGTTCAGTTGGGAATAAAGTCCATGGGTGGGAAGAAACAGTTTTAAATATTTAGGTGTAAAAAAGGTTCTGGAATTACTTAGATTAGGTATAATTAAGAATTACTTGAACCCTTGTGATTACATCAAACGGCTGTTGAAAATTTAGGAAAGTACTAAGTATTATTGACTACATGGAAAAATTGAAAATTACAAAAATATTGTTTCCTGTTACTCTAAAAAAAAACTAATGAAAGTTGGAGGTTTAGAACTTCTAAAACAATACATTCATGGTGAACACAGTTAATAATGTTTTTGAAAATGTAATTTAGATATTTTATATTTATCAAGATTTCTACATGTATGCTGTAGTGAACTCTGGCAAAGAAATCTAGCTGTCCACTTTAAGTTAAAATGTAACCCATACACACTGAAAATTTCTTGGGAAGGAACACATGTCAAATGGTTGCAGGTGGTAACAAGTAAAGGATACTAACTGGATTGCTCAGAACAAAACAATGACAGCTGTCTGCTTCTCATAGTATCATTACTACCATTTATCAGCCAAATGTACTAATAACAATGTTGTGACAGAACCACGAGTGACCGCTTAAGACAGGTTTCAATGTACTTGTTTTGTGTATAAAATTTCAAAAATTTTTAACAAGTCTTTTTGACATCTTGTTTCTTTCTTTCATTTTAGTTTAATTTTTGCAAAACCATCGTAATTACATTAGAAGTGTAAGCATTTCAAATTTTCAAGGAAGCTTTTATTAATATCTTTTATAATGCTTTGATTAACAAGTTAAAACTAAGAGTAATGCTAATTACATAATTTATTTTGTACCGAAATTATTGTAAACAGTTCAGCAGCAAGTCTCATAAGAAGCAGAAATGTAAAAATGTTTCAGAAAGTAATTTTTACAAGATAATGTCAAGTTAATATTTCTTTAAGTGCAGTTCTAAATTTATATGATTGTAAACATTAAGATATTAAAAATTTGGGCAAGTAGTGTTTAAAAAATGAAACTATTATCTAATAAAGTAGTTATTGTAAATATTAAATGTTCTTTTTAATGAAATGCTTGCTGTGTATGTATGAGTGATGTATTAAGTTTGGGTTGATTTGTTATTTAGAAATACATACAGGGGGGGGAAAAACCAACTATTTATGCAAGTTTCAAGAAATAGATACCTATATCAGAAGGTTAGGTTTTGAGATTATTCTACATAATTTTTGGGGAAAATTTATAATGTGTTGTATGGTTTTATATTTTGGCAACATGTAGTAGTAACTTATGCTTTCTGTCTTATTACTGCTTGCTAACCATTATTATGTATTTAGATTGTTTTTCTGTATATTAACAAATCATTCTTTGTACAAAGTTATTTAATTGTTTGAAACCTTTGTTATGAAACATAATTGCCTGTTGATATTTTAAATTTTGTAATGAATTGTGATATTTGAAATGCCTATCAATTTTTTGTGAATTTCAAGCATTTACTTCTGAACACTGGAATGTGGATTATTTCTGGGAGTCAATGGGTTGAAAATAATTGATGTTCTGCATCTTTACAGCTTCACCTGTTGATTAAGTTTTTTTAGGAGAACAAACCATTCATTGAGATGTCATTGCCTAATTACTACTACATTGCTGTGAAAGGATCTCTTCATGCCACTGATTGTCAAGTGTTTGGTCTCAATGAAGATGAGAGAGAAGCTTTGTCGAAACGTTATTCAAATTCGTCTGCTGAAGTTATTATGAATGGTGTAATTATTAAAGGTACTTTTATGTTATTTCTTTATGTCCACTTTTCCTGCAGTTTTTTTTTCCTCCGGTTTCTTTTTGGGTTAATCTTCTATTGTTCCGCTTATTGCTTTCTATCACATCTTCAGGAACCTTCTATTTTTTTTTTTCTTCCAGTAAATTTTCATAGTATGCTTATAAATTTCATCTCACTTTCTTCTGTGTATGTGCGTAATTGATCGTTTATTTCTTATTCACCATTCTGTTGCTGCTTTATTTTGAGTCTTTTTTCATGTTGGTAGTATAGTTGTGAATGTCCGAATTCAAGTTGTTCTATTTTTTTTGAGAGTGTCTGGTGTTGGAATTTATTTTATGATAGAAAATGTATTACACTAGTGTGTACATTGTCAGTTTTTTTATTTTATTTTATGTTGGGATTAAAAGCATGATGTTAGAAATACTGTGTTGTATTTCCCAATACGCACAGTAGCAATTGATCTGAAAAATTAACTCGTTCCAAACCATTATGCAGGCTCTTCTTTCCAGTTGATGAACTATTGATAAGACGAGCACATGAGTGCTGAAGAGAATATTTATTTTAATTTTTGTAATAGTGTTTTGTGAATGAATAAAAATTCTCATTGCCTTATGAAGGTAATTAGAGAATTATCTCTATCGTATTTCACTAACTTTCTACTCTTTGGAATCGTGCTACTATTGCATTTGCTCTGATTTTCACTTTTTTGTCATCACTTCTTTGCATTGTTTGTAAATTCGACTGTTGTTTATTTACTGAATTATGAGTAGCATTTATACTTCATTTGATGAAATCTGTTATCAATCTAACAGTTTTAACTTTTTATATGTTGCTTTGCCAAAAGTGTGGCGACAGTTGTGCACAACTGCAAGTAATAGCTACGAATTGGATGAGCTTAGTGAATAGTGTGGGAAACAGATGTTCAGAGTGGTAATGGAAGGTTTGGAAATGTGACTGATGATGCTTACAAATTGGGTCACGGTTATTATAACTTGAGTACAAAATAACATTAATTTGAGTTGTCATATTACCCATGAAGAATATGCAAACTACTTATGATGTGCCACCCATATACAATGTGACACTAATGTTGCTATGCTCTTCAGGTACATCAGACAAACATATAGCAAGACTAAGCATAGAAACCAACAATTAAAAAAACTGTTGGAGAGAAACAAAAATCACACTTTTTTAACCAAATTTCCTCTCAGCAAAACACTTCACACGGCATGGTCTCCACATGGACTTGCTGTCAAACATGCACGATAGTGCAATGACGCCTCATGAACTCGAATCCCAGACAGTCTCTTGCCAAAAATCTATTCCTTTATTGTCCTTAATATCTTTATCCTCTGCCCCTATTTCGAACTCTAATTTCTTCTGAACCTTCTACCAATTCTCCTAATCCCAGTACCAATTCATCTCTGCCTGATGACCCAGTTTCCTCATAACCTGGCACTGCTCACAAAGACGATATTGTATAAGAAATGCCCATAAAATAAATATTAATGTGAGAGATATTTTTTAAAAAAGTTACATTTGTGTTTGTTTTTTAAACAAAATAATGCTTCAAAACGGCGTTTGTCATGTTATTCAGTGTGTTTACAACTGTGCATAACAAAAATTTAAATTGTGTTTTGAAATATCTGAAAATATGAAATTTTTTTAGCTAATTTTCACAGAAAAATGTTGAGTTTTGTAGAAACTACATAAGAAATCATTAAAGTCATTGTGCTCACAATTGTAATAAAGTATAAAAAAGCCTCATTGTGAATATTACATATTAATGAAATATTTAAAAACTAGTAGTTCTAAAACAGCATACACATTCAACACAAAATTACACAAAAAGTAGGCCAACTCAAATTTTAGAAAAATTGTACGTGACCTTATTTCGAAATCTATCAATAACAAACGTGTTTCATTAATGGAAAAATCTGTATCTTTAGTATTTTAGTTGCAGGAAGACTCAACAAATTTTGAACTTTTGCAAATTTTCGAAAATTCAGCGTCTTTAATGAACATGAGACCTGCATGCTCTTAAATATTCTTCACACTATCTAACAACAAAATTTAATAAAAAACAATGGAGTCATTTTGTTGAAAATTGGGAGTCCCAGGGTCTTCATGCAAAGTACCCCCAGAATTAATATATCGGTTTCCAATTCAATGGACTGAGACATCAGCCGAATTGGGCAATATCAATTTTGGAGAAAATCAACTGAATGGTTTAGACGCTAGCGTTATTCACACAGACGTACCGACGTATTGACGTCGTTCGATTTTTCGGGGTGAAGGGCCCCTAAAACTTGGATCCTGCCACACCACGTGATAGAGGAATTTTTTTTCTTCTAAATTTAACAACTGAATTTATCCACTCTTTTGATACCAGGGCCCTGAAATAAGATTTTTTCTGTCGTAAATTCACTGTTTCTTCGCTTAACATAACTTTCTTTCTACTCCGTAGTGAGAAAGTCAAAATTACAATTGTGTTGTTTTTTGGAAAATTAAAAACAAACGTCCAATTTACGTTTGTCTTGATATTCGGTGCCTTTAACACTATCCGTAGAGAAAGTATAAAGATAAAATTGAAGCCTTTTTGACATCTTGGTTGTAACATTTGCCCATATTTCACTAAAAATTGTACGAAAAGTACTAATGCTTTCAAAACAATGATTATGATATTAATTAAAGAAGTAATTGTGGAGAACAAATTTCATTGAAGGAAAAATCAATTGTCAATACTGTAGTTGTAGGAAGGGGCCAAAAAAAGCATTCTTTTGAAAATTTCGAAATTAATTTATCGATAATCCGACCTATGCCATTTTTATAATTGTATTTCACAGTATTCTTACAAGAAATTCAAAGAAAAAAATTGGAGTCATTTTTGAGAAAATTTTGAAAATGTCGCAGGGGGCTTGCTCTCAAAATTTAAAGAATAGTTTTTCTAAATCGCCGGTCTTCGAGTCCGGTCAATTTAACTGAGGAATATTCATTTTGGAAAAAACTCTTACGAATATTTTCTGCCAGTGTTCACAGATGGACGCATTGTGGAGAAAAGGGCGGGAAACTTTTTCGGTATCTAGGAACCCCACAGAGAGTATTTCAATTGCAATCTGGAAATCGATTTTCCGCAGCATTACGTAACTTGCTTTATACTACGTGTTGGAGGTAGTCAAAAAGGTTCCGGAAAATGATTTTTTTTTAAAGGTACACAAAATTGAATTTACTTTCAAAATATTTCCCTTCATTTACACACTTTACCAAACGTTCTTAAAATTGTTCTAAACAGTCCTCGAAGCCATTTTGCTACGTTGTGACGTTTATTGTTTAATTTAGAATAGAAAACATGAATATCCTTTTTCTGGACCCTGACACACGCATGCATGACATACACGTGCGTAGTGTTTAGCGACTAAAATAGAAGTCGCTCACACCATCGCCTGCATTTTGTGAACGAATCTTTTCATTTGAATCGCTAATGGAGAGAAGAAGAGATACGTTAGATTAATTATGTATAGTAACATGCTAAATTAAAGATACAGTAACATCTGTCTAAGCCGAATCGGTCGGAACAATTTCCGTTTTATGCAGGGGTCTATGATTTGACTATTACTATATTCATATTTCCAATCTCAAACTAGTAAAGTACACGACTTTATTGTAATTATAAAAGAGATATTGACGTATAACATATTTATGGAAGAAATTACCAATAAATTAATATTAAACATTTCCGACAATTGAAAGGAAAATCTTCACAACTTGTGCACCAAAAATGTTGTTTTTTCAACATTCATCTATAGTTTTTTGGTTTCTCACTTACTTACACCTTTTGTATTTGGTTTTCTGAAGTTGAAAAACTACTATTTAGTGTTTTGTGTTTTTTTCAATCATTGTTAAACTGGCTGTGAAACAAAAATAGATTGCCTCACTCTAATGGCTGCTGTCGCACAGCTCGCCGTCTCTTCAACGCACAATGCATCACAGCCCAGAGTGCTACGTAGGCCGTATTCTTTCTGCGTATCTTTCTGATGCCCTCGTATGGCCTTGACCAATGCTCCTCTGACCGAGAGGTTATGATTCTCATTGCGGGCCCGAGAGATGTGTGAATAGAAGTCATGTCCGCAAAAATGAGAGGGTCAGGTGGGAGGGAATTCCCCTACCGCATACACCTTGAGAGACAAGCGACCCCACACTAGAATTCTACGCTAACAGCTGAAGCCCCTCACTTCACCATCCGGTTTGCCACGACGGAAACGCAAATCAGAGGGACTTCTTCCTTCAGTTCCTTTCGGAGTATAGGGCCTCAGCAAAGTATCTCAATCTTACCGAGTTTTCTGCTATATAGGGATGATTTGTATCCACGTCATACCAATTTTCCGTATCTCTTTCCACTGTCAATCTCCAAGTTGTTCTCGGTCGACCTTGGCTTCTATTCCCTTGTGGGTTCCACCATAGTGCTTCTCTCTCAATTAAATTTCAGGATTTCCTTTCCTTTTCCAATCCAGTTTTCTGCGTTTTATTTGCATTGTTATTGATGTTTCATCAGCTTTCTCCTGCGGTTCATTTGTTATTACTTGTGGCCACCTAATGTTTATGGATTCTTCGTATTCATCTATTTATGAATACTCGTAATTTGTGTTATTTTCCAAGTTTCGGAGCCGTATAAAAGCACAGAGTTGACATTTGGATTGAAAAAGCGTAGTTTATATTACAGGGACAGAGAAATTAAAACAGACTTGCAGAGGCATTTATTCCATTTAGAGATTTTCACGTCTCTATTCCAATTGTATTAAATTCAGACATTCCGATTAATAAGATTTTCTTTCGCTGTAGAACATTAAAAACCCTTCCGTTTCCGCAGTGGAGAGGATCCTTCTTATGCTGTGTTTCCATTTAATTTCACAGGCCAGAGAAATGTTCCGGGTAAGGAAGGTTTCCGTCGTGTACACGTTCCGGTTTGGACAAATTTTACTGTATGAATTCGTAATTAGTCATCCCTTTGTGATAAAAAAACAAACTCTTCGACCATGGCCTTCTCTTTGCTTCTGTTTACACAAAATGTTTGCTTTCGCGGGAATTTCCATTCAGAAGGTGGCGTTTCGTCTGAGGATCGTAAAGAAAGCACTGGATCATATCACCAGTTACGATCTTCGCCAAGATGTTGCCATTCTCAATCTGATCCCTTGCCATTGGCATCCAAGTTTCTTTGACACAAAAACTTATCTGAGGGTTATTCTGGAGAGTATAATGCTCATTGCCCAAGAAGGGCTAACTGACGTGTTGCGAAAAAGACGCAGCAAATTATTTAGAAAAAAAGTTCTTGAAGGCATTTTCGAAACCACGTGCAAACTAACATGCATTTACGCGCGTTTTCTTGAGCCCTGGAATACCTACCACCACTCATTTGCCATTAGTTGAATTAAGAATAAATGATAGCAACGAATGTTTAAGACAAAATCTGATAACCAGAATATTCGCTCCCGTGTAATAGAAACTATTTTGCATCGAAAAAGGAACAACAAATTTGATGCAAATTCCATTCGTCAAAATAACCCAACTCCCCACTCCTCTCGCAACTAGCGAAGCGAGCCGAAGAAGCTCAAGAAAACTTGCGAAAACCTTAAATCATCGTAAATGATGCTGTAACGCTTTGGCCCATAGCGTAGTGGAGGCGGAAAAAATCACAATACATAATTATAATAATATCTTGTAAAAATGTGAACCATTTCATATTTTCGTCACTTTTACGATTCTTACTGAAATAAGCACGGAATTATTACTTATTCTGTGACTTCTTTAAAGGAGTGTTTAGTAATGACATCTTGTAGCGTCTGGCAACACAGTCTGTATCGACCTGTATCGATTACCGGTATTTTATTTTGTTGCTTGGATCATTTATGGCTTATATTAAGCGAGAATGACTTCCGTCATATGGAGAATTCAGTATTGGGTAATAACACAGGCAAATTAGATTACAATACAGATACGTCCCTTCAGGGAAGTCCGTGAGAGACGCGTTGACAATTTTAAAGGAAGTTTCATTAACGGATCGTCAGTAGTTCAGTTCACATGAACATATATATGTAAATATGTGTAGTAATTGTTAAATTATTGCACTTTGTTAAAAATTGTATTATTCGTGTACGTATAGATTCGACTATGTATTAAATAATTTATGTATTTGTATGTTTGACTATCTGTTACGTTGTTTAAGTAAATATATCTGCCTTTTAAATTGAAATGCCCAAATAAGAGGTAACAAAAATTTCCTCCGCCGCGGGCGGATGACACCCACGCTACGCCACTGCTTATGCGACTGCGAAAACGTTTCAGATTGAGATTTGTTCAGCAAAATACAAAATCCTTCCTTCAGTTGCTTACTTAAACTGATGTATATGTCCATAAGCTTCTGGGAGGGATCCCAGAGCTCAAAAAAACGTGCAAAAAACATTGCACTTCTCCCAGTAGTATATCATACACCATTTTAACTTTTTTTGACATTAAATAAATAGTGAACAAAGAATATTGCCTAACTATGCCGATTATGCGTTACATCGACTGAAAGACGTTTTATATTAATCACATAGACCAACACCTCCGAGGATGAAAATTCTTTGCATTGACTAAAGACTGGAGCCTTGTTTATTAACTTCGATAGGCGAAGCGTAAGTCACTCGCAAAACCCGGAGTCTCGTTATGAAATGGGACACGCGTTGCTTAGCATCTATGTACCTTTCAAGTTTGAAGTTATAAATACGAAGCCATTTCGCTCGCGAGTGTATTCGTTGTATGTTTTTACCAAAATACACTAGTGATGTTATGTTGGTTAAGCAATCCGCACTTAACGTTTAATGTCTACGAGGTTGGTAGTGACGAAACAAATGGCGTCCAGTCCCAGTAAGTAAACGAAAACTACATTCTACTATTTTGCTTTTATTTGCATTCATAATCTCGTTTACGTATGTTGCTAATATTATATGGCATTCACAATTTTTTCTCATTTTGTTTATATTCATTACTCACAAATATGCTGCTTCTGTGAATTTCCTTCCATTCCAATTCAATAATATCCACTATAATGATATTATATTGATGAAATTAATTGTAATTTGTATTATTTTAATTGTTTGTGCGATTGTGTGAATAACTTGTAAATGTGTCAATTGCTATAGAATAAACATAGATAAACAAAAATTCATCAGCATGGGCCCCCCTGCCCCTCTCCCCCCATCCCAGATCTGCCACTGCGACATTATGGTGGATGTTCGTGGTAAATTATGTGTATGTGCTTACAGACTTGTCATATATATTTTTGGAAGGTTAACTTTTTATCTCGTATGATGTACAGACTATTGAAAGTACTATCTGGCTTTATTTCTCTTGCTTCACCAATTGACTCTCCTTCGCATTAAGTCTATTGACTGAAATATTTTCTGATCATAATTATTTTTCAAAAAGATCTTTCACTCTAAAAGTAGGTATTTCAAAGGCTCTACAAGATGGCATTGGTTTCTCAAATAAATCAATTTTTTGAGTCTTTGTTTTTCTTGCTGCCCTCTCATTTTAATTTCATTGCAAAATAATTTACAAGGTAAATTTTATTAGCAACTTATCTCATACTCTTTTCCCCTCTCTTTATTTTATGTAGTTTCTTTAGTGACCGATTACAATTGTTGTTTTTCTTTGATTAATTATATGTTGATTGTGGAAGTTACCTCTACTTCTTGATATTAACACACAATTACTGTCAGTTTTATCAATGTAATGATTTAGTTTCACAATTTCTACATAATCATTTCGGATTTTTCTACAATATTATTTCAATTTAACATTGATTTATTTTGTTATTGTGAATTGGTTAGTTAATGCTTTATTATTTTCCGATTTGTGTGTGAAACTTAAAGTAACATTATCACGAAAGGAAATATTTTTTTCTTGCAGGAGCTGCTATGGATGTAATCAACTCTTTAAGTGAGTTAGGGTATCATGTAGTTTGTAGCACTGGTGAGGCAGAAATTGTTTGGACCATGCAGCGAGAAATATAAATTTATTATAGATGCCTCACGTTGTGATAAAAGGGAACATCGATGGAACTGAGACCAAAGTTTTCGGCATGACATTCACAGAGTTCAATGTCTGCCGAGAACTCTTGAAGTTGTATGGTGGAAAAGTTGGCCAGGATGGTCATACCTTTCTTAATCCTCCGCTACTGGTTCTAAATTTATTTGAGCAACGTTTTGAATATAGAATTGTTGCTTCGTCCGAACAAGGATCCCAAAACTGCCCAATATGGACTCTTCACCGCCCACCCAACACCCATCAACGCCCAACAAGTTTTCGGCGTGACTTTCAGAGAGTTCAATGATTGCTGAAAGCTCTTGCAGTTGTGTAGTGGAAAAGTCAGCCAGGATGACCATACTTTTTTCAATCATCTGCTTATGGTTCTAAATTTATTGGAACAATATTTTGAATATAGAATTGTTGCTTCATCCAGACAAGGATCACAAAACTTTCCAATATTCCACTCAACACCTTCATTTTGAAGTCTTACAAATTGTACTTCTTTTTCTGTATATAAGTGTGTAGTGTTGTTTAAACTAATAGAAGTGACATTGTAAAACAAAATGAACTACAGTATTTGAGATGTATGTGAAGTGAAATGCTTTTGTGAATACTCTTTGTGGAAAGTTGTACTTTAATTAAAATGTCTTTTGAGGTAATTACTTTTGTTTTAAATTATTGATACAAAGTATTACTTGTGAATATTGTCTCAAATTTTCTATTGTTCCAGACAATGTCGCATAATTGTGGTCATAGTCATTCTGTGCCATCATCTGTTTATCAGACTCTAGAAGAATTGGATTTTGAACGTGGAATTTGGTATGCAGGTGAGAAAGTATGATTTGTTTTTAATCAAATTAAAATTTTCTCTTAGTTCACTGTTTTACTAGTATGTAGTACATAAAATGGATTCAATTGCATTAACTCTCATGTAATTCTAGAATCTTGAAAACAAAACTCATTGTTTATAGCTCAACACAATGATATAACCCGCATTGAAAAACTTCTGAGGCAAGGTGTATCTCCTAATGCTGAAGATGCTGCTGGTTACACTGCACTTCACTATGCATCCCGAGCAGGCCACTTGGAATTATGCCGTATCCTGCTATCAGCTGGGGCAGAGCCCAATTCACTCACCAGGGCAGGCAGAGCATCTTCTCTTCACCGAGCAGCCTCAAGAGGTACAGTAGCTTAGATTGGATGTTATAGACCTGTGCTGTTATTTTTCCTTAGCATACTTGTCTGTTAAGATCCTTTCAATCCTTTGTATTTCCCACACTCTGATCTCTGAAGAACTGATGTGAAATCAACTGATTTTTTAATCTTTTGATTCTTCTTTTCTATTTTTAAAGGACTTGTAGACATAGTGAAGCTGCTTTTGAAAAGTGGAGCACTTCCTGATTTGCAAGATTCAGATGGGAAAACTGCTTTACATCGTGCTGTGGAAGGTGGTCATTATTTAGTTGCACAAGCTCTTTTAGATGTAAGTGATGTTTCAAAAAAAATTCCCGATTTGAAAGGTCAGCTGCCAATTGATTACGCTAAAGGCAAAGAAAATATGGAGCTTGTGTTATCATAAAGGATAAATTAAAATGAGTTTGACATATAATAACTATTTTTGACATTGTGCTTATGTACTCCATGTAGTGTTCTAAAGTTCAATATTCTATCAGGATATTTTTGATATAATTGCATTCGTGATGAAAATAAAAAGCTGGATATTATTTGGAAGGAGAATTGTACTATAATTTTATTACCTCTATTTCTGAGAGCAAGTTCTGCATGTGTTAGAGCATGATTCATACCTATATGTGGAATTTGTAATGTATTTTTAGAATTAAATTTTGTTACTTCTATCACTTTCTCACATTTGTTTTTCTCACTGTTTTCTCTTACGTTATATAATCTTTGTGTAAATAATTAAAATTGTATGTAGTCACACTGTAGATATAGATATTTATACTCAAAATACAGTAGAGAATCAGTTATGTGGACTCAGATTGGATTTCTTAGATTTTCTTGTAGTGAACGTTTTAAAAATGTTCATGTGTTTTGTGAGTCATATTTTGGCTTTGCAATGGTACAGTTATTAAATAAATATATTATATAAATTGCAGTGTAATTATTTTTTCCTATACTTGTATTTTTTCTCTATGTAATATTTATTTGATTATCCAATATATTTTATTTTAGGGACTAGTTCCACATTCATTAATTGGTCCAAGTAATTTACACTCTACTGTGTTTTGAAATGTTACTTTATTGATAAGTATTGAATTTCATAATATGAAAATAATGCCTAAAACTATTGTACAGTAATTTATTCCTATCCAAATACACTCAAATAAGTAAATAATTTTAAGTTTCTCTGGATGATGTTTATTAACTAAAACATTAATTTATTAATGATACATTTATTTGGAACATCATTGCTTGATCTTGTAAACTTTTGAAATGATTCAGATAAAATATTATGAAGTTATTCATAAGTCATTATGTTTAGTCATTTCCTTTACGCAATTAGTATGCGAGAAAAGGTAAAGAGATGATTTTTGTGGCCAAGTTCTGGAAACTTTACGGAGTGTTTAAAATAAGTTTAATCTTCCTTTGCTATATTTCTTACATTTTCATCTCTTAAAAATCATTTAATCATCATTGTTTAATTCTTTATTGGTTTGGTTTTTGATAATAATACAAAACTTGTAAAGAGAGACCAAATGTTGTTTTAGACTTCATTGTTTCAGAATTTTTCTCTTGTTCTTAAGAATTGTTAGGATCTTATAATTCAGGCCGTTGCATTTTGTTGAGATTTTGCTTTTTCTTTTCCAAATTTTATTTAATTGTGTGGTGGTTACTGAAGGTCATGCTTATGTTTTGTTTTTGTTTCTTATTCATGCAATCTTATCTCTTCAGTAATTAAAAATTGAAAAGATTTCAAAAAATTCTTTCTCTTTGAAATAATCCAACTTAAATTTTTATTTGCAATTTGTGTGAGAACTCTAATGAAATGCAGCAAATTATGTGAAAATGAATTAATCAAGTTTTCTTATTTTACTGACATTGTAAAATTTATGGAATAAAATGAAATAATACAAATGATCACTCAAAGGAAAATCTGCTTGATGTGATTATTAAAAATTTTAAGTTTTTGAAAAAAATTCTGAGAGTCTCAATTAAGCTATTACTCGTGTCTTATTTTGAATAAAATGTGTAATTTGACAATTTTGATAGGTTTACACTATTAATAATAATATTTACTTTTATTTTTAAAACTGATAAAAATACTAAAATAAATCTTTTTATTTAACCAAAAATTTGAAAAGTAATTAAAATACATTTTCCTGAAGGGGGGGAGGGGATAAATTCAAATAAAATGTTAAGAATGTTTAATGTAATTTATCATTATTGTAACTAGTTTTGAGATTGCATTTGTGCTATGATTTGCAAGTTATTTGCAAAGACTGACAAAAGTATGCAAAAAGGAATATGATTGCAATATTTTATAAAAAAGTAGAGTTTCTGCTAAACTTGAAAAGGCATGAAGTTAAGTGTATTTTTTGTTGTGTTTTTTTGCTCTTTTGTGTTATTCAGGATTGAAAAGTAGGATAGCAGTATCAAAACAAGCTGAATGGTATTTCACAATACTAAGCAATAATTTTTTAGATCTTTAGTTCAAATTAATTATTTCTGATGTAAAAACATTGGTATTATTGGAATTCCTCTGCACTTGTCATGCAAGTTTGTCTCGTTTTATCCCGTTCATAATAGCCACCAGTACTTCAGTTATATTTTTATATGTTGCTACACTTCTAATAATACATTCTAAAACTAGATGCTATGCTTTAATGGTATATTTTCTTGTTGATCACATTTGAACACTTGATGCATAAGACTGTAAGCAAAAGGTAGGCTACATAGATTCTAGAGCTTATTAAATGTTTTGTCATTACCACTTAATTGAATGTCACCACAGTACCAGCAATGCACTTTGTGTGTTTTATTTGCAATGGTATACACACAAACAGTTTGACAGATGAGTTATTTGTTGGAATATTTTAATTTGAATTGTTATTTATATGAGCAATTATGAATGTTGCTTTTGTCAATATATGCAAACAATGCTCTGTCAGATAATTCAATAAAATAAAGATATAATGGGTAATAGATGTGAATGTGGAATGTTCTTTAAAGCAAATAGCTCTTGCTGTAGTCGGATCAATTCACAATGTTGACCATATTAATTGGAAGTCTGTGATGTGTTCAAAATCAGAATCGTTCTTGATAATAAATGCATTTATTTTTTCAAAAAATATTTTCAAGTTTTAATTTTGAAAAGTACTATGTTGAAAAATTTTGAATGTGTTTCGTGATTTTCAGCATTGTGTCTTGAGATGTCTAATTGTATCTAAGTAAAACTCATGGATTATAAGTAATTAAATATTTACATGCTTGTTTTACTTGTGATAAAATAAAATATATATTATCAGCCAGACACTGTATTTTTTTCTTTTCTTTTCTTTTCTTTTTCTTCTTTTTTTTATTTATTTTTTAATTCTAGATTGCCTCAAATTTTGTTTGCCTTCTCCAAAGTGTATCTCAATGAAATAGTTGCAACAGCATGTGTGAATTTTTTTTTTCTTCTTCCAGGAAGTTGTATCTTGAAAATAAGTGACATGTGAAGTTGCATTTGCCTACTTTAACTCCATAGTGGGTCAATCTTCGAGTGCAGTGATCACACAGCTTCAGATCCACTAGGGCCAGGTAGATCACTGGTTTTACTTCAGATCCCTGGTCCAAGTAGAATATGTTGTAGTCCAATTAGGATAAGGACAGGTATCTTTGGGATCTTCCATTTCTCCTGTCTCTAAATCCATCTTCTCCGTTTTCAAGCTGATTAGTTACACCATGAACTTAAAAATAAAAAAAATTATTGCAACCCAACCCAAACATCTTTCCGGTAAGACCAACAATGGAGAAACTTCATGTAAGTAAGGGCTGAGGATTAGGTCTTTTCGTAGGAATTTCTCTTGAAAGACCACGACAAGATCGTCAAAAGCTCGTCGATAGCATCAGAGCCTTCGACGCGGCGTCACCCGCACAGTCACGAGCACTCGCAAAGTAAATTATTATAATTCAATTACAACAGAGTCCATTAAGGTAACAAGCTCACAAGCGAGGGAGAGTGTGTTATGCTATCGGAAACTTCAATATCAAACATTTAAGTCGTGAAGAAGCTCGATTGGATAACAGTATCCCCCTCACCAGTCAGCTTGTGACCTTCAAGAGACACACTTTAATCGGGCCATAACAAGAGAGATGTCAAAAATGGATATTTGTGTAATTTTTGGAAAAACGATAGAATACAGCTAAATGGCCTTTGTGTCGTATTATTCAGTAAATTAACACTATCCGTACAAAAAATTTAAGGGCAAAATTAGACTTTTTAAGGAATTCTAGTTTTTAATATATTTTAATATTGACCTTTTCACTCAAAATTATGGGAAAACTATAAAAGTTTCAAAAAATGTACATTAATTAAAGAACTTATTGTGGAAACGAATTTCATTAGAAGACAAAATCGCCATCTTCAATATTGTAACTGCAGAAAACGCTAAAAAAAATGGAAATTTTTGCAATTTTCGAAAATTCAGAGTTAACATTGAAAATCGGTCCTACGCCATCATTATAAATGTATTTCGCTAAATTCTTACAAAAATTTTAAAGAAAATATTCGGTGCCATTTTTGAGAGTATTCATTTTGGGAAACATCTTTTGGAGCATTCATTGGGTCACTGATAAGTGAGCCGAAAATGACACGGTTTCAAAAACGCTCAGACAATAGTTTGTCAAAAACGACTTTTTTCTCGAACATTTTTGAGTGTAGAATTTCTTCTTTTATCCGCCAATAGACCCACTGCACATTCTGCCAACGAAAGGTGTAGACAAAATATTTCGTAATCTGCCAACGAAAGGTTTATAAAACTTATTTTGTAATACAGAGACATAAAATACATTTGTTAGCTTACCGTTGGCTGGACTGGAACTAAAGTGATCTACAAAACATTTTGGCTAAAACCCAGTTATGGTGAATTTGAACTGAACAGGTGAGCATCAATACATTCTAAAGTTGTCTGTATGTCACATGTAGGTATCGCTTAATAAAAGTGCCACTTTAGTATTGGCAGATGGTTTTAATGTTAATCAATTCTTAAGTGGTCTGAAAGTCATATTATGATTCGTACCGTATACTACTTTAGTTCCAGGCTAGCTAATTCATCTTCCAATTAAACATATGAGGGATTATGCGAGGAAAATGGGTAGGGGTGTGCAAGATATCTAAGAAAAAGTGAGAAACAAGTGGGGAATAATTTGGGATCAGATGTGAAGAACGTGCGTGAAACTTGCAGGAAATCATGCGTGGGAGCAGGTGGGGATCGAGTTGCGTTTCTTAAGCCAAGTGCAACAAAATGAGACTTGGTACTTTTTGTGTCTCGTGTAAGCCTGTAGAGAAAGTATGTACATATAGCATTCAAATATTTCATAGGCATTTGGGAATCACACATCAATATGCTTTCATTTTTTATTCAAAGTCATAATACATTTCTAAAAATTGTAAAACATACTTAACAATAAATACATGAAAGTGTACACGATGTCTTATGCCTTGCTGTGTACTAAAGAATCAGAATACACAGTTAAGAGTCGAAATGAATGTTGCTTGATTCATATTTAAATTAGATAAAAGCATATTACTGATAGCAAAGTCAATAGTATGCTAGACGAATCCAGTAATTGCCTGTTCGTACGTGAATCTTAGGATGTCTTTGTCGATGCATATCTCGCTGCACATCTCGTATATTATCTTATATAATTCCTATCACTTATAGAGGATTCACCTGAAAATGAGGATGGAGTTGAATGCTGCTGTGAAGTCCAAGACCACGCTGAAATCATAATATTCAGTTAAGTTTGTATTCAGTCTCTAATAGGAATCACGATTGTGCGTTTTGAAAGAAATGCGGTGCGTGAGTGCTCCCCATGCAAGCAACCGCCAGAGCAACCAGGTGTCAGTAGAGACTGTGCTCATTCCGGTTACCTTCCGATGGATATTGAAGGGCAACGCTGGAGAAATCCCCGAGGGTATGCCGGTTCTCCGAGAAAGTGATCGGAAGGGCATGGTGTTGCTGGTGGTGGTGGTGATGGGCATCGAGGTGGTGCAGGTGCGGCTGGCGGCGCGGCTCCACCAACAGGGGCACGTAGGCCTCCTGCACGTAGACGGGCACCCAGCGGTGGGTGTCGAAGGGCGGTGGTTGAGCGGGGGCGTCCGCCGGGGCCGACGGCGGCTGCTTGAGGTCGGCGGGCGCGTACGGCTGGATGAAGATGACCTGCGTCGGCTGCTTGTGCACCCGCAGCGGCACCAGGTGCACGTCCCGGGGCGGCGCGTACGGGAGCGGGTCGACGTTGCCGCGCTGGATGCTCACGGTGGAGTACGGGTCGCCGGCCTCCTCCTGCACCGACTCCGCCCCGGCCCCGCCCTCTTCGCCGGCCTCCGCCGACGCCGCGGCTTCGCGCGGGGCGGGGGGCGGCGACGGCGCGCGGGGCGGGGCGAAGGTCGGCGCGAGGACGGGGACCGTCGGACGCGGGGTGGACGTCACCCGGTACTTGGCGGGACCCCGCTCGCCCGCGTGCGTCGTCTTGGCGCCGAACTCCAGGCTGCTGGCGGCGGCGGCCACGCCCTCGCCGGGCCCGGTCGTTAGGGGCGCCTCCGTCGACGGTGGCGTCGTCGTGGGGGCGGCGGTCGTCGACGCCGACGAGCCGATGTAGTCTCCGGTCGTGGGCGCCGACACGCCGCTCCTGACGGCCGGCACGGGAGTCTTGGGGCTGGTGGCGGTCTGAGTTTGGTTAGCCAGGTTCCTCGCCCGGGTCCTGGCCGCGAGGCGCCGCGCCGCCGCCGCCGCCGTCGCCGTCCGCCGCGGCACCGTCTCCGCCGGGTAGTCGTTTTTCGAGGTGTGGATCGGCTGGAAGTCCAGCACTCGAGACTGCCTCACGCTGGCCGACTCGGCGCTGTCGCCCGCGCGGCCACGCAGGAGCACCCTGCCCAGCAGCAGCCTGCTCGGGAAGTCGAAGTCGTTCTCCGGCTCGTTCTCTTTGGGAATGGAGCGCGTGCGGATCTCCTTGCAAGGGACGTGGTTGACGTCGGAGGACGTCGCCAGGAGGACGTCTTCCGGCCTGAACGGGATGGCGGGCGACGGCTTGAACCGGGAGGTGTCCACGCGCCCGCCGCCGTACTCGTTGAGGCGTGCGCTGACCGTAGAACTGGAGTTACTGTGCGATCCGTTTTCGTTGTCGTCGAAGACGAGGTCCAGTTCGATGGATCTGATGATCTCCACGTCGCTGCCTGCCGCCTTCCCGGGGTCGTCGGGGACGGCCTGCTGCCAGGGCGCGCGGTGCAGCGTGGTCTCCGCCGCCGTGGAGTCCGCCGCCGCCGCAGCCGTCGCCGCCGGCGTCGGCGTGGGTGTGGGGGCGGCCGTGGGCGTGGGCGTGGGCGTGGGCGTGGTTGTGGATGACGGTGAGGGCGGTAGCGCCAGGCTCCCGCTCAGCGCGCACAAGACCGCCAAAGAAGCTGTCGCCCACATCTGAAACAAACCAAGCTATTAATTGTGGTCCATGTATTAGATTTAAGGAGAATGTAATGCTTTATATTTACTGACTTCTTCCACTGACGAAATGTCCATAGTTTATTTACTGACTCTTCCCTCAGACGATATGTCCATAGTTTTGATCAATTTAAAATCGGAATCCGTATATATTCAGTTTCAAACTTGCCCGTGAGTAGTATTTTAATAAATTCAAAGCTCCAGAAAATGAAATTTATTTTATACCGTTTCAGGTAAACGCTCTATTACATTAATTTTACTTTAAAAGTCTGGTTAATAAAAATATATGGTTTGAAAAATATCAATGTACTAGTTGCAGAAGCGACGCAGGGACACGGAAAGCCATATGCTGAAAATGTTAAATGTTTGAGACTAATTCTCAGAATTTATTGAAGTTGGACTTATGCATTTTTTACAGGTTACATATATTTCACTCATAATAACACTGAAATAACTGCTTTGTAAACTGTGTACTATTTTTGTAAACATAAATAGTTTATAATAATGTAATGTTTTCCCGAGTTTTCTAGAAAATAAAGTTTTGCAGAATGGATAATACTAAAGTTATCAGAAAAAAAAAAGTTTCAGTAAATGTAGGAAATCTTTATTAGGAACTCCTAAAAATGACAGTTTCCTATTAAAAATGTAAGATGAAACAAATATAATTAATTTAATATTAAAATATCAACTTTCGGGAAATGTGCTTTCAAGATGCAACCCTCCGAACACCGCAATTTCTTGCCTCATCAGAATAAACATTTTCCAATAACTACTTCCTTTTGATACTTTTTTATGTTGATTAGTTTTACTACATAAAGTTTTCAATTTACTT